GCTTAATGGGCTGCTCTCGCTTGTTGCAATGGAAACCGTTCAAAGGGCAAAGGGAAGGGCAACGCAAGGGAAGAAGCGGGGTCTTGAACGGGAACCTGACTGACTGACTAACTGTCTGGCGCGGATCCGGTGGTTCAGCTCGGGACTGGGACTCCACCCCACACCACTGTAGCCCTACCTTACCCCTATCCGTATATGTATATTCTATGTACATACATATTCCACGATTTTTATCGCTATCTCTATGGCTATGGCTATGGCTATAGATATTGCTAGTGAACGAAAAAAAGTTCTCCTCCTCCAATCCCATCCCATCCCATCCTTCATCCTCAGCTGCTGTGGCCGGGCCGGATGTGCTCATTGTGCTTCATTTTAATTTCTACTTCCATACACATCTCCCCTTTTCATGCCGCTCTCTGCTCTGCTCTGCCCAGCCGTAATGCTGCGCCGGAAGCACCCACTGCCCACCAGCTGCTGCTGCCACTGCTGCCGTTGCTGGACTTTCCGTTACTAAATGGGCAATGGGCTGGGTAGGGTAGGGGAGTGATGTGGAATGGGTTCGCGGTCGGGGGCACGGGCACTCCACTGCTGGCGTGCCACCGATGATGGGTCGCACGGTAAAGTTTTTATTCAGCTTGGCCATGATTTCAAAAGTGCGTTACGCAGTGCGTAATTCAAAACAAACATAAGTTGAAACTAAAGCAACTAAAGAATACAATGCGTCAAGTTACAAGTCTTCTTCTACACTGGAAAGAAACAAAAAAGAAAGACAGCCAAAAATGCTGGAGAAACAGTTCTTCCAGCTAAAGAATATCTCGGAGGAAACACATTTGCTGTTCTTAAGCCTCTTTCTTGTGCACCCCATATCTAGATCTGATCTAGAGAACAAGTGAGCTCAAAAAATGTCAAACTATTTGTGGTTTTCGCGCTATTTATTCATCTTTTTATTACTTAGCTTGCCCCTCCCACTTGCGAAACTCGAACTTAACCCATTCAGCTCCTTCTGTGGAACATAACTGAGTGGGGTACACTGAGAAAAATACACTTCAAAGTGCGGAAGAAACGCATTAGAAATGTGAAATGAAATGGTTCCTATTGGAGAAAAGAGGCTCTGAGCTAAGTTTTCTGCGTCATTTCCCCGTTTTGATTTTGACCAGCTCTCTGCTATCTTTCTCTCGTTTCCTTTGAGCACAAGCAAGTGCACGGAGACAGAAGTAGTGGCGCTCGCTTTCTCTCGCTCGCACGATCATTTTGGTTCACCGTTATGTTCGGCTTACCTTCAAATTGGTTTTTTGCTCCCCCTCTCTGCCATCCTGCCCTGCCTGCACTCTTTTGCATCCCGTTTATTTATTGGATGGCCGCCACACGCAAACGACAAAGTCAATTGCGGCAGCCGCAAAATGAAAATGGAAATTCAAAGAGCAGCGGAATGAAATGGAAAAGGCCCTTTTGGGCACTCGGCACAGAATGGGGTAGTGGGTAGGGCCGTAGGGGCGCTATGGTATGTGGTACGGCTGGCATGTTGGCTAGGGGGGAAGTGGGTAGGTAAACGAGACTTGTTCAGAAAAAAGTTGGAGCACTGGCTAATGGCTCGCCATGGGCGCATAAATTTAGTGGCCATGGTGTATTTGCATAAAGGTGTGGAGGCATTTCCCGAGAGCTCTCTTACGGTAGTTACCTATTTTTTATATGACAATGGAAGAAGGAGAATGTTTGTATGCTTCTACACCCTGTATAAATACACCTTGTTTCTGAATAACTGTCCTATTTCCAGTTACATATATTAAATGGATGGTTAGGTAGTTCCTTTACATTACCGCATGAAGAACGCCCGGTTATACCTCACCTTGAATTGAATTCACCTTACACCAAGCCGTTAGTTGTCTATTTTTTTTTGTTTGCCTTCTCTTTTCTTTTATTTTTCTTGCTTTTGTTGTTGTTTGTTCGCATTTCTTTTCATATTTTCTGTGTTGGTTTTTTATTTTTGGCAATTTCAAACATGCAACATGTTGCAATGGAGTTATAAACCCAAGCCTCGAAAAATTCAAACTTTTCAGACACGGACGCGAAATGAGAAAAAATGTTTTTTCCCTACTGCTTTTTCCCGCCGTACTCTTCTGCTGTAGCTGTGTTTTTGGGGCCTACCACCCCTCTCTCCCGCTATTCACTAGCTTTTAACGTTTTGATGGGTGCCACGGAGAGGGGGATACATAGGTTATATGGCGTTTGGGATATTGTTCGCTAGCAGCGCAGTCTGTAATATTTTTGCCGCATAAAAGTCAAAATATGCAAATAAACCTTCCCGAATGGCGGAGATTCACAGTGTAGGGGACCATTGTGGTGGGGAGCGCATGGTGGGACAGATTTATGCATTGAGGCAGCGGCAGCGGCTAATACGGTAAAACAGATACATATGTAGGAAAAAGGACATGGGGACAGAGACGACTAAAACAATGTGCATTGGAGCGGTGGGGGTACTGGGTACTCCAGTGGAGTGGGGTGCCGGTACCCATTGCAGCAGCATGGCTTAAATAATAAATGTAGTACAAGCTTTGAAAGAATTTACTATACTTTGGAAAACGGAGGTTATAAAAAGGCACACACACACACATCCATGCGATGTGGAACACACACACACCACATACTCATACAGACACATGTGCCTGGCATATAAATAAACAATGCCCCTATGTAGGATGTTATGGAAAGGGAGGGGGTGGTGAATGGAAAGTCGAAAGGGCCCTGGACACAGAAGAGGAATGGCAGGAGGCAGAAGAGGGAGCAGCATTTCCATATTGTTGCTATAATCAGCGGCCCGCTTTGATTCATCTGCATGCTTGCCTCGCACCAACCACCAGAAGCAGCAGTAGCAACATGAGGAGAGCAGCAAATACGAAGTCAAAGCCAAAGCCTGCTTGGTGCCGTGCTGCCCTTGCCCGTTTTCCCGTTTGCCACCCCATTATCATCAAAGAGACGAAGCTAGTCCAGGCCAACGCAAACCCCAGCCCCAACCACAACTGATTGCAACCTTACCCAACCCCTCGAACCAGGCAACCAACATATGTACCAGCCAGCACGGCACAACGTGCAGACTCCGCAACATCCAACTTCCAACTTCGAACTCCCATAGTTCGAACATCGAACTGCCTGGTTGCATCAGTGCTGTCCTGATGCTGAGGATAAGCCAGATCGAAGAAAACGTTTCGCTGTATGTCCTCTTTCCCTCCCAGAAGTCTGCTCATGATGGATATCAGTCTGGAAAACCACTGGTGCCTGCTACTCGGCGCTCGGAGCTGGCGATCATTCGTGGCGCGACTTTTGAACGGCTGCAGCAGCGGCAGTGGTGACCGCAGAGGAGAAAGCTACTCGTTGCCACTTCTGTAGCCAGAAGATGTACATGAAGAATGCCTTCAACCAGCTTGGCCTGTGGCCGTCATGGTGTTGCCGACGCCGGATGGACCCATTAATGCGACCAAACGAAACTTACGATCTCGGCTTAGTTCTTCCTCCATCTGGGCTAAGGCTCTGTCCCGGCTCAAGTACAAAACCCTAATATCATCTCGTTCTATATTGGTAATATCTCAGGATTATCCACAGTAAGGTCATCAATATTTTAAGATTCATACCGAAACCGGACAAATCGTGCATAAACTCCCTTAACTTGCGGATTATGGACACATAGTCCTTACCCAGGCGAGCCAGTGACATCCAACTGATTCCATAGAATCATACAGTGGCTCCCACCTTAAATGAACCAAAACCTTTTCAAGCTTAAAGGTGGTATAACTTCTGAACCGTCTAACTCACCACTGAAAATGAAATGTATACGGATAGATAAGCACTTAATCTTCAACAAAATCAACTTAATTTATTTTTAAACAATTTTTTAAAACACTTTTCACAATTAAAACCAAAGTAAGTGCCTAATTTAATCTCTCAGCTTATTTTAACCAGATTCCAAAACCCATTTTTTCTTGTTTCATTTTTACTTTTCGCTTAGAAAATCATATGTTTTAAGATCCTCCTATTGTTTATAGCAATATTAAACAATTTTTGCAACGATTCGACCAATTTTACTGGGACCTATAGTGTAATTGCTACCCACCCCCATTTTTGGGAACATTTTCATGTTTTTTAATGTTCTGGTCCAACATTAGCCAACAATTCTTAGTGGAATTATAATTTAGGATATAGAGCAGACGGAATCATTAAGTTTAGGCATTTATTTCGATTTTTGGATACGATCATTTACGGTTAAAATCCAAAATTATTTTTTTGGTCGAGATTTTGGAATAATTGAGATGCTATTTGCTGTATTGATAGATAGCAGATACATGTCCACATTTTCATAAAAAAATCCTAAATCCCTTCAACAGGGGTTCCCGTACGGGCCTAACAATGTCCATTTCCTCCCACTTCAACGGATGCAGCGTTCAGGTTCAAAGTTTAAAAGTCATTAAAAGTCCTGTATTTGTTATACGACTTTGAACTTGGTTTGGTTCATTTAAGGTGGGAGCCACTGTAGAAGCATTCTAAATAGTCACGATGTTGGTCGGGAAAACTACTAGTTGAAAAATCTTCTGCTAAAAAGGCTATGTGGACAACATTGCAGGGCATCCAACTGCTAAGTTCGCTTCGAGCGTGTTTGAACTTGATGCCACTGTTAGATGCGACAAGCAACGGAGTGCTGCGTCAGAGATGCTCGAGGATTGTGGTGGCTGGTGTCTTTCCTGAAAAATTGCTATTAAAAAGCCATATAAGAATATATGTGATCATTTTAAGTGGCATTTTAGGAAAAACGGAAAATGATCTCATTAAAAACGAAAATTAAAACCCAAAGTACAAAAACTTTGCACAATTTTGTAAAGCAATAATGAATAAATGCGACAATATAATATGTTGTTTCCTTTTTCAGCTATAGCCATCTAGCCAGCACTGTCGTCAGCTTTGGTTTTCTGTTGGTGTGTTATCTCGCAGCCGTCCCGCCAGTCAGTTCGTTCTGCTTTCGACCTTGCGCCCGCTCTATCGTCTCGCGTTGTTTTCATTTTACACTCATCGACGACGGTTGTTCCACTCCCGCGCGAACGAACAGAACACGCACGCTCTGACTATTTTATCCTATCGCACATTTTTTTTGAGAAGGACAATTTTTGGTCTCTCGTGTTCGACAACGACGTCTTTTTTGCTGTTTGTTATAGTTGTTATTTATTGAAGTGTAACCGAGCTACATACATACATATATTGCTCTTGTTGTAGTTTTATATATTTTTCACATATCTGAGTGTGAATTATTGTGTTTTATTTGATGCCAACTAACCTGAGACCAAACCAGGAGCGAAAGGAGAGCAGCAGCAGCCAAAAAAACAAAAATCGAAGAAGGAAGGTGTTCAAATAACAAAGTCAAACAAACCAAACCTCTGCACGACCGACCCGGACCGCCCGGCCCGCCATTAGGCCGCAACGTCTCCACGCCCCAAAACAAATCCAAGCTTCGAAAACAAAAGCTTTGCAAAAGCAAAGGCAACAACAGCAACAGTAACAAAAAAAAAAGTAACAGTAACGAGGCAATTTTTGTTGGTGCCGCGCTGTTTCTCTGTGTATCATCTTCCCATCCTCGTGGGTCGTGTGTTGTTTCGCTCTCCGCCGCATGCGGAGTTACAGTTACACTTACGTTTACAGTTACAGTGACAGCCTCAAGTAGTTGTTGTTGTCCCCCTTCCATTTCGCAAACACTCGTGTTGTTGCTGTGTGACAATCGCCAAGGCAAATAAACGGTAAAGCGAGGAAGGAGTGAGAGAAAGAGAGTGAGAGAGCGAAAGCAGAGGCGTACGGTGAGGGGAACTGCTCTGCTCCACTGCGCTGCTTCACTAAATGCATCCAAAAGCACGGAACGATTATGTCTCCACTTGATACCAAAAATAAACAAGCAAAATCAATCAATTAATCAATCTGATTGAACAGATTGCTCCACGCCCACACAGCCCAAAACATACCTATACACACACACATAAACCCAAACACACTCGACTCACGCACGCTCACACACGAGTCAACGCCCACACGTCCACACCCATTGATTGGAGTGGTAGGGGTGGGAGGAAGGAGAAAGAAGAGCAAGCAAGCAAAAAAAAGGAGCCAACAAAGTGAGAGTGGGAGAGAGCAACAACAACAAAAACATCAGCAACAGCAAGAACAAACATGTTTAATTCACTTGCTCTGATGCTCGCCTGCTGCGCACTTGCCGCCCTCTGTCTCGCCCACAAGGATGGAGGATCGACTGCAGATGGAACGGGAACAGCCACAGACCTGAGCTCATCCTCATCATATCCCTCCACATCCGCATCGCCATCAATGCCGTTTGCGACGGGGCCTGGGAGCAGTACCAGCAGCAAGCAATTGAGCAGATGCCGTCAAAGCTGCTATCAGAAGGTAAGTCGCAGACGACAGACACCGAGTGAGCCTCGAACCTCGAAACTCAAACTGGGATCAGACTTTTTGGGTCGGGGAGATAAGACACCGATCCGATCCGATCCAAGCCAAAGCCGAAACATTTGATGGACAGTTGTATGCTCAACTGAGCAGCAACAGCAGCCGCATGTGGCTGGGGTCATGGCAGGGGTAGGGGTTAGACCTTCAAGGTTAGACATCGATGATGATGACAATGGTTCTTCGGCTCCGAAAGGTAAAGCGACGTAATTTTTTATGCCCTTTCCCGCTCTTGCTGTGCCTTTCTTTATCTTTGAGTTGACATCGCCCTGTCGTTTTTCGTTGCCGCTGTTGCTGCTTCTGTTGCCGCGTTCTCTGCTGCTGTTTCTCAGGTAGCCGCCGCTGAAAAGATGTCATCCGGGTGGTCGGCCAGTGTCATAGTGCTGCTAATAGAGATCGGCAGCGATGGGGAATTGAATTTGAATCGCCAAAGAAAGAGTGTGAGAGGGAGCCAAGCTTTTTCGGGAGTGGCATTATTGTTTAGAGAGAGTGACATTTGGTACAGTTGGATGGATGTTCTGGAAGAGCATGTGAATGAGAAAGAAGCTGGAAGGAGCAGAGCAAGAGAACGTGAGGGGAAACAATGGGAAAATGAAAGAGTTCAAAATGGTGGGAAAAGTAGGAAAAATAGATGGGGGAAAGATAATTCAAGATAACAGATATGTATAAATGATAAAGAACTATTAACTACAAAGAAATGTCTTAATTTGTATAATTCAATGATTTCATATGATGATTACCTATGATGATTATTTGCATATGAAAACCATAGGAATAGCTTGAATATGAAATCTCTTGTTTTTAGACTTGAACAAAACTGTATTTTAGAGATCTACAAATAGAGAAATCCATTAAATAGATTCAAGAAACTTGAATCTTAGGGTGGATTCAATCTTTTGTACAATTTATGTACAAATGTAATCGAAACCACGACAAAAACAAAAAAAGAAACAGAATAACCCAAAAGGGGGGACGATTGAGATCAAGACGAAAAGATCTCTTTGGAAAAGTTGTCCTACAGTCTATGAAAGATTTCGAATTGTGATTGTCGTGTGTGTTATGGCGTGACTTCCTGGAACCATGGATAAAAACCCCAAGAGAGCGCGTGTACCCTCTATTGTGCTGACACCTCAACAAAAATGTTAATAAATTTCGGTATCAAATGAAATCAACTCAAACTCAAAAAATATTTATATCAATTCCCATACGACCTGCAAGCGGTGCATAAATCAAGAGTCGTGTAAATATCATCTCCAATTTCCAAGTAAATCCGAGTAGGTTTCAGCTCCAGCTCGAGCGTTACGGTGAGCTCTCGACAAATAGACATGAGAAGTGCATGAATCACTTGAGCAGGAGACCGTTGTAGCATTCACAAAGAAAATTCAATGAAATTTGAGAGGATGGTCTGAACTTAATGAGCTAAACACTAAGCACTTTGGAATCGTAAGAGTACCAGAGAGTGCAACTACCCAATCAACCGAAGATGAACAGAGAAGGTCTTGGCAAGTAGAATTCTGCATTTAAATATAGACATGTATTATGTATATGTATATGTATGTATGTACAAAATAGATATACATAGATATGTACATATGTATGTACATATAGAAAGATCAGGGCTTGGCACGGTCCTATCTATTGTGCATAGGCAAAGGCTCCACCGCTGCGCTGCCCCTGTCTACATGTGTATGACAGTGCCAGGTACCAGGTACCAGGAGGCTTGTCGCCTAGTCGCCCTAGTTTATATAAAATAGATTCAAGAATCTTAATTCAGCGGTGGGAAAGCTTTTTGAAAAAATATTCTTTATCTCTATCAATGTACCGCAACATGCACACGTCATGTATATTGTTTTACACAATGCATGGGTACTCTCTTTCACAGCACTCGTTTGTGTGTCTCGACTGCGAGCATCAAATTGTGCCGCGTAATGTGAGCGTGATGGGTGCAGCATCGGGGAGCAAAGAATTGTGATCATCATCATCATCATGAGCATTTATTTGCCCTTTGAAGTCTATTTGTTGAAAGTCAAAAAGTTCTTAAGGGTTGAATGGTGACAAAGCCCGTCGGACTCGACTCAACTCGAGCCGTGTGCGAAGCTAATTTCATGCCCAGGCGGAGGAATATACTGGAACAAATCCACCCATCCAGTCAGGCAGGGACCATACATACCATTCGTGGCATCCGTTCCATCCTTTATGAAGCCAACCCCTGCAGACCCATAAAAGCCCCTGCGAACGTCGACTGCGTTGCTCAATCAGCGCCAAATTAACACCATGAAAGACTTTTCTGCACCACCCCATAGTGGGTGGATAGTATCGATGGGTGGGATATACACTCTGTATGTGTGTGGGAGGTTTAAATTCTAGGTGGTTGTGGAGACTCCAGCGATCTTGATGTGATATGCGAGGCACGTATTACTTTGGCTGCTGCTGCTGCTGCTGCTGCTGGTGGTGGAATCATCGAATATCTACGGTATGCGTACGTGTCTCATAAAAATTGCTTCTCCTCAAATAACCAACAACAACAAATAACAGAGAAGAAGAGAAATGCAGAGCAAGAAACATAGAGAAAAATGCGGGGGAAAAATGAGTGAGTGACCCTCCGCCCCGTAACTTTTTTTTGGGTAATTTATGTGGTCAGAGTAGGTACGGAGTGGTGTGGAGGGGGCAGGGGCACTGGCAGTAGCACACTGGGTGTGAAAATGTCTGGGACAATTGCATGTAAAAGTTGTCGTTGCTGTCGCTGGCCTGCGTTTAATTTATATATGGACCAAAACAGAAGAGACGACCCATGGGCACCCACAGGTAGAAGTGGGAAAAGTCGGCAGCGGCATGGAATATTTTGCCAATTCAGCTGATTCATTGAGTCAAAGCCGTCGTTCAAACCCAAAATCTTCCCCGTACCCACCCGGTTCATTCATTCATTCTGGCATGCAGTCAGTCATTCATTAATTTGAACGCCTTATTGTTGTTACTTATCGCCCAAGTTGTTTCAGGTCGTCGTCTCCTGTGCTCTCTCTCCTGCATCTTCAACTTTTGCGTCTCCCTTTTGTTTTTTTTTTTTTTGCAGAGGCCAAAAATTCAATTGAGTGGAAAATATGTTGTCTTTGCGATTTTCCTTTTTCTTGCATTTGCCCTCTGCCCCTTCCCCTGCCCCTGCCCCTGCTCCTGCCTCTTCCGTTCCGTTTTTATCTGCCGCAACTGTTGGGTTTTTGGACTGCTCTGCTCTGCTCTGCCCTGCCCCGCCTCCTTATTGTGTAATGATGACAAAGTGCCGCCGCCCGTCGCCGCCGTCAATGTTGGGCCGAAAGGTGATGGCAGCCATTGTCCCTTGTGGAAGGATGGAATCCTTAGAGATGGCCCATCTTTAATGGATGGTCTCGGAATGCGTACCAGGAAGTACTTAGTGGATTTTCAATGCTATGGGATTATCCTATAAGACAATCAATGGCAATAACTACCGTCAAATGTTTGAGCATAGACTTTTTGCAAAAGAAATTGCAATTATTCCCTTTAAGGTTGGGAAAATAAACTTTGTTTTGCGGTGTATTTGAATGACATTTTGTTCAATTTCGATAAGAAAATTTAAGAGAAGCGTAAGAGATTACCCAAATGATATGATAAAAGAGTTTTAGCAACCGAAACAGCCCTGTTACATTTTTACATTAAATCAATGTCATGGGCTTTGTGGAAAACAACCCTAAGACATCATCGTTAGAAACGAAAACCGGAAAAGTCTTTCAGAAATATGCATGTACAATGGCAGTATGTAAATTACATTTAATTAAACAAATATATACATATGTATGTGCATAAGTAAATACATATGCACCTAAGAGTTCACTTCCATGTCGAATATTAGTTCCTTCCTAGAGAAACAAATTGGAATTTCTCGATTGAAATAGTCGAATGGCAGCTGTGGTGTACATATGTACATATGTACCATTAGAAACTAATATTAAAGTTCCATGGGCAAACGATTATTCCCCATTCAGATTTAAATCTGATTTTTTTCTCGATCTCGAGCAGTGAAATATTTCCGGCCGGAAATCGCAACCTTTTTGCATTGCGATTTTCTAAATTGAAGTACTTTATTTTGTGTTTTATTTATTTATGTTTTTGGGCTTAAATATTTAGTGAGCTACAACAATTATCTTCAATTTAAATTCATTTTCAAGCCAACATTTATTTTGCCTACTCAAATATTTGTTCGGGCAGGCCACTATTAAATAAGACAAAATTAATAATATGGGATGAGAAAAGGATCACGAAGCAATCATGGCGAGTATTTCTCTTGAGTCCGTTTAGTTGTGGGAAATTTGTACAATGAATCAAATGCAATGAATTAAGATGAAAAGTCAGTGCAAAAAATGTCTCGAAATCATCCCCATGATACCCATAAAGGCAATAAACATATATCAAGCGCAAAGATCAATGACGGGTTTTTTTTTGTTTTTGTTGGGGGGGTTATTTAACCCTCGCACGCGCAAAAAGTAATAGAGACTGGGGAGGACTGGACTGGTCCACAAAATGACATTGAATACACAAAGAACTAAGATTTATGTACATGCATACATAGATATTTTTTATTATTGTAAAATGTTGTGAGAAATAACAATTTGTCACGCAACCATCTCTAATCGTTTTTCTGTCGCAGTTTTGCCATTCAATTGTGTCTATGTCTGTCTGTCTATCTGTCCCTATATTTTCTCTGCTCATTCATAAAGCAAGGAAACAGACAGTACAGGAAAATAAATAGAACTAGAAATGGGAGTGGGAATGGGAATGGGAATCAGAGAGTGCGTACCCCTACCCGTACGCGTCCCCGTCCCTGTCCCCGTCCCCGTCCCCTCCCGCTGTTCTGTTCAGCTTTATTCTGTATTTGTTCTGCCTGTGCGTAAGGCGACAGTTGACAAAGGCTAAGCAGGCAGTCCAGTTTTGATCCCGATCTGTTTCGTGCCGTGCCGTGCCGTGCCATTCCTTCTTCCATTCTTACCCATTTGCCATGGCAATCCCCCTCATTATCCTCATTGCCAGGAGCGTGAAATTTTCAATTCTTCACAGGCGAACGTTTGTGGTCATTTATATACGTACATCTATCATTTTACATACATATACATATATACATAGACTTTTACATTTTCTTTTTTTGCTGCCTGCCTGCTTTGCCTTTTATTACAAGTTACAAATTTGCGTCTATTGTTGAGGAAAAGTAGAGGACAGGACACAGGCACGATGGTGAGGCAGGGACCAAGTCATGGGACAGGGACAAAACGAGATGGGCAGGATGACTTCTTGTTGTGTTTGTCCTGGCAGGCAGTCAGCAGCGACAGCCCGCCTCGGGTCCTGTGCCTGATTACTTTTTCTTCTCGTTGCTTACTTAAAATTCGATTAGGCCACGCCCACTAACCATCTAACGTCTCCTCTTTGCAGTATTCCAGGGACTGGCATTATTGTACGGATTCCACTGATTGCAGAAATGTAAGTATCTACGCTCTACGCCTCTGGCTCCTTCTCCTTCTAGCGGAATGTGACAGCCTTCTAACGATATCATTAACCCATTAATGGCTGGCTCTTGAAAATCTTCTCCTCGAAAATGTCACAATTTTTTGTTTGCTTTGTGGGCTATGTAGATGTAGAGCCCCCAGGTCTTAAAAAGTTGATTATCATTTTTCTAGCTGGGCGGTTTGTTTTAATATTTTCTGATGGACAGCATTTTTCATGAATTCGGAAGTCCTAGGGTTAATGAAAGATGAGCACTAATTTCATTGCCTACCTGAGGGCGCGCGACATAATTACAAAAACTAATTAACAAATGGCTAACTTTCCATTGTTTTTCCTTTGTTTTTGTGTCCTTGTCTTTGCCTCTCCGCGGGCATCCACAGTGCTGGGAAAACTGTCAAAAGCAATTGTCGCCCTTCGAGCTGAGGATACACAGGGCACAGCGGCAGGGAGCACTCGTGCTCACGGACATTAGCTGGGACGAGATGATAGCCAATGCCTCGCGCCAGTGCTTGATCACTTGGGAGGTGTCTGGAGGCGGCCTGATAGGCAATCTCCTGACAGACACATCCCGTGCCGAGCTCTCCCTGTGGCCGGACACGGTCTACAATATACAGGTCACGTGCAAGCATAAGGTGCGTACCACAACACCCACCTCACCCCCGCTACCGTTGCAGTTCCGATCTAAAATATCACTAATCCCTCTTGCAATTGTCAAATTGTTTCCCTTTTTTTTTGCCCAAAGATAACTGGCATGATGCGTCGCTCGAAGAGGCTCAATGTGGACACGCGCCAGTTGGTGGGAACCACCAGCACCAGCACCACAGAGGGTAACACACCCACAACAATAACAGCGAGCGAGGAGCGAGGACAGCCAAAGATGTATGCCCATGTGCATCCCACGGATCGGGTGTATATCATTAGTGCTTTGCCAACAACGAGCCAACTGAGTGGCGTTGTCTATCCAGCCTTTGGGGCATTAGCATTTTTCCTGTCGCTATTGGTGATGTTCCTGTTTTTGCGTCCGCAACGCAAGCGCTTCCTTCTAGATGCAGATGCCACGGAAGCGGACACGGCCACGCTGATTGGTGGTGGACATCGGAGTTCGTCGAGAAATTCGCTTGAGTCATCGACGCTGCATGTCTAAAGCGTACGAAAACCCGCAGGTGGAGTAGGAGTGCCGAAAATGAAGAACTTTGTAGTCGTACATATATAGTAGTATATGCCTGACTATGTGATATTCAGCACACGCACACGCATACACAGCCCGCCCACTAAAAACTGTATATATTGCCACACAGCTGTGGGCACTAATTGTGCCCAGCATTATCTCATGCATTTCATTAAATCAAAACCAGAGATCCAGAGATCCAAAAATCAAGAGATTGAAAGTCAAGCAACGTGTTTGCTCAATTAAGTTTAAGTTGTAACACTTTTACCACTTACCTTTCTTAGATCCTAATGCCAAAATCAAGCGCAAGTCATGCGAGTAGAGAGTACATGCATACATATATACTATTATTGCATACATAGATACATACATACATATATCGTTCATGCATTCATACATATGTAGCTACATATACAATACATTATATGCCATATACTATAAATAAACCATATACATACATATAGTACATATATGCACATACATATATCATATATATCATAGTTATACAGCAGATATCTACAGATACAGAATACGGAATATATAACTATATATTATATATATACATATAATGATAGTCCTAGGGGCCGATGGCCAACCACTACATACACCAAACTAACATGCAACAAATTGCTACAAATTTTTGTCAATCGTCGTGTCTCTCTCGCTTGCATACAACAAATTATTTGTTAATACATTTAAGAAAAAAACAAAAACTTAAAACAACAAAAAATCTAAACAATTTTTTTTCTACATTTTTGTCGTAAAAAAAAAAACAAAACAAAATTACAAAACCTAAAATCAAAAAACGAAATATTTTTCAAAATTTTTAAATGTTTATACCTAGAGTAAACCCAACGCTCAATTTAATTAAAAAAAAAAAACAACAAAACAAAAGAAAAACAAACAAAATGTAACAACAAAGTAAACTATTAATTAACTGACTTACACTGTACTTGAGAGAATAAGCAAAAAGAGAATGAAGGAGGCGTTAGAACAGCCACTAACTAAACTAAACTAAACACTAAACTAAATGGTTAATCAAAGGTCAAAGGCAAAGAAACAGAGAAAGAGAGGAAGCTTCGCTACGCAAAATGCCTGTAAATATTTAAGCCCTAATTTATTTGTTTATTTAATTGTTAATAATTTATTATAAGTTGCCCTAAAAAAAACCCCCGAAGAGTCCTCTGAGTCCATCCTGTTCTGTAAATATCCCCTTACATTTTCGCATATTGAAAGCAATGACTCTACTTTTCCTTATCCTATTCGGATCTGAAAGTAAGAAGGTCCAGAAATCATAGAAATGAATTTATTACTGGGCCTTTCAAGATAGGAATTGAACTCGCTGAGTCTTTAATGTCCCGCTAATTCTATTGCAAATCTCCCTATTTTATTTATGAGAATCATAATTATAAATGGAGTTTCTTCCGATTATGCTCCTAACTAAAGGGAAGACTCCCTAAAAATGAAATGAAATTTCAGCTCAACCCAACTCAAAATGGTTGATAAATAATTATACGTACTCGTGCATACTCACTTGATAAAATATATAAACATACATAAATACTCATATTGAAGTATAGAAAGAGAATCCCCTTAATAAAAATAAAGAAGAAAAACCGTTTCCATTGTTAAGGAATCATCCAAACTGGAAAACCTTTCCTTTCCTTCAAGAAAATATGCTATAAGCACCCAAATATGGAACTGCTCTTTCTCTTTTCCACATAATGGAACAGTGGTGGACACGAGGCGGCGGCATATTGATGCTCGATTTTAGACGCACGACCGAAAGCTTTCAAAGAGAATGCCCGGGAATTGCAAAAGAAGAACAAACTTATCGGGTGCATGATGCGACAACTCAAATTTCCCTGCTCCCATATACGAGAAGCGTGCATTTAGAATACAATTTTGTTGAGTCTGAGAACCCATTGCCATATTTATATGAATAATAGTCTTAACTTTAATTTGTATAGTAGATATAGCAAATGCATTCTGTCAAAGAGCCAAAAATCTTCCAGGTTCCCATTTTTTTGTTTGTTTATTTTGTTAATGGTTAGACTTGCTCGAAAAGCTAATAATATTTTAGATAGAAAATAAGAGTTTCAATTATGGATGAAGAAAAAACCCTTCTTACCTAAGACATTTTATCCTTTATTTGTTTATTATGTAAATATAATTTCATTTGTTATTGCAGCTCATTTTTGGCTACTTTTATTTGTTACTACGGGTTGGCATGGGAATACTACACCCTTTGGTGGAGGGGTGGGAAAGAAATTGGAAAAATCAGAAAAACGAAGTCATCGATTTTTATGCCCCCCTCTTCTGGTGCTATTCTCTTAGGTACTCTGGGAGTCGTCCCTTTTGTCCTCCACTTATCATATAAATTAGAGTTGGGATATGCAAATGCATTCAAGACGAAAAAGGCGGAGGGGGGATGATTCCTACATGGTAAGGGACGAAGGCGACATGGCAGGGGATGTCGTGTCGATTATGAGAAACTTCTTTGAATAGATGAAATGGAAAAATTCCATCGGAAGAGAGGGGCTGACTTGGATGGGATGCGATGGAGTAGAGTGGGGTGAAGTGGAGTGGCGCGACCCCGGAAAAGTATTCTCTTAAGAATTTCCGATTAAACTTTTTTCTTTCAGACCCTTCAGCTGCTGTGTTTTGTCCCGGGTTCCCCCTTTTAATAAATGTTGGACCAAAACTTTTTCGCTTTTCTTTCATTATTTTCCTTTATTATTTTTTGAAAATTTCTTAAAATATATTTTTCTAATTCGCTTTGGCTTTTTTTGGGTGGTTGGGTCAAACGGGGTACGAGTCCATCTCAGATGGATTTGGCGGCCACTTGGCTGCCATTAGACCCGGTTTCAATCTGCACCCGTTCCACCTCTTGCTACTTGCCCCTGCAGCAGCAGCATTCATCCAACCATCAATCCATCCCACACACACACCGACCCCCCTACCCCCTTCAGCTGTTGTTCGCCTCGGCCACTTCAGGCCGCTTCAGCGCTCGTTGGTGGACCATGTTCTCCGTCACCCCATTCCACATTCTCAAGCACTTTTTATAAACCAAATTAAATTTATATGCCCCTACAACCATCACCCATTCCATCACCCGTCGTGCCCCATCCTATCCGTGGCACTCTCGCAGTGTCCCACTGCTCTCCCACCCTGTCCTCTTGGGCTTTGTGGGGCAAGCCAATCCCAGGCTCTCGACTCTGTCAACTGCCAATTAGCTGAGCATTTTTCAACATTTTAAATTGTCTTCCCAGCGAGTGCGTGGTACCCTCTATCGCCCTCCCCTCTATTTGCTGCACCATCCAGATGCGATGAGGAGGAGGGTGCGTGGTGGTTGTAGTGGAGAATGGTAATTAGAGGGATGGGATTGGTGCATTGCCATCTCTTGAGTGATATGTCCAAGCGATTTTTCTTTTATAACCCCAATACCATGATGGGACAAGGGCATTTACGACGGACAAAAAAAAACAAAAAATCAAATCAAAGCGGATAAACACCTTCAATACCCTATAATGAATGAATACGAATTATAGGGCCTTTGGCTCTTTGGACCTTCGAAGCTGTGGTTCAGTTTGAAGTCGATTCCCGAAACCGCACATTCTATCAAAGCCTTTCCAGCCCACCAAGGTCCATTCCAAGCTATATTTTACTTCTTTCCAATCGTGTCTTACAGTGTGTTTGCTCCAGGTATTCTCGGAGTCGATGTCTTCCAATATCCAATCGCGATTTATTTATATTTTTGCTAAACTCTAGGGTAATCCCTGGAACGTTTATCGTGCTCTTAGGGGGCGGCTGGCATACTTATAAGATTGTTTTCGTTTATTTTTTTCCCCCTTCTCGCTAACACTTAGCACTCCCTCCTCTTTCACATCTCTTGCTGTTTGTTTTAGTTGCTTTTTTTGGCTGTCAGTTGTGCAGCGCGTGCTTCATTTATCAAAAAGCAATTACAATGTTATTTCGATAAAGATGCTTCCAATGAACACACCCCTACACCCACACAAGAGCACACAAAAAAAAACACACACACACACAGTGATAGAGAGGTGGGGCCACGAGAGAGAAAAGAGTGAGGTGAGTGAGGTAGAGTGGCAGTGAGCAGGTCGGGTCGGTCACCCACCTGCCAAATCATTTGCCAAATTAAAACAAGCGATGAGGAACGTTGTGAGACGCTTCCGTGCGCTTCAAAACTTAAATACCGGATACTCAGTTAGAATGTACGTAATATACATCAGTGTGTAAGCTTACGAATTTTTCAAATTTTTTCCATATCCATCCATATTACTTCTCAAACCAACACCAATATTTAACTCGCTCCCCTCCACCACTCTACACGAGGCAGAATGAGAAAGCTCTACCAATAATTCAATCTGTCCCTAATTCGGGATTCTGATAAATATGGCCAATCTCTACAGAACTGCGTCTTTCGTTTTATCGTATCTTCAAATCTTCACTTGTTACTGTGTGGTACATATGTCAGCTCTGAATGCAAAATATGGTTGCTGTAGTCTCTGAGATCCAGACGCCCTAATATACCCCTTTTGCTCTTCGAGTAACGGGTATAAAAAGAGCCACCCAGCCAAACCCTTATTCCCCCATCCGCCCATTCCAATCCATGCCACTGGCTTTTTGATTTTTATTTTGTAATAGAAATTATCAAAATGAACAACAACAAACCCGTAAAAAAAGCTAAGAAACAAAAGAGAAGAACAAAATATATACATAAAGAGTACCTACAAAAAAAAACATATTGTATTACAAGAAAATTAATAAGAAGTGGAAACACAGACGAAAAAGAGGAATAAGAAGTGGAAACGGAGAAGAACAAAAAATAAGATGTCGAAAAAAAATGCAAGTGCCCAGTGAATGGATGATATGATGAAGCGGCAAAAGAGGAAAAAGAAACAAAAATTATTAATTCTAAGTAGACAAAAGGAGAAAGAGAAGATGGAGATGGAATTGGAGTAGAGGAAGAAGTTGGAGATGAAGATGGAAGAGGAGTATGAAGCAAATGAAGCATCAAAAAAATAAAATTAGACTACGACTAAAAGGCAAAGCGAGTGAAGATAACTTTGGGCTACACGCCATAAAACTGGGGATGAGTCGGGTTGGGGAATGGAGAGCATGAAAAGCGAGCATGTGTTTGTGCCATAAAAGGTTTCTCATTACATTCTCAATATAGAGAGAGAGATGACGAGAAATGGTGAATGAGAGAAAGATGGTGAGGGTATCATGACTTTGAACAGATGTTTGCCCTGCAGCGAATGAAAGAATTTACGATCCTAGAATACACATCTGCTTGATAAGGTTAATAGATCAAAGAGACAGGTCCATATGAACACATGTACATATTTACATACATATGTACATATATACGTAAACTAAAAACGGAGTTCCGTAGAGAATGTCCGTGGCTGGAACTAAGGTCTAGAATTAACCATTTTTCACGTCTATCTTCTATAGTTTGCTGAATAACTTATGTATATCAAGAAACATCTTTGGAGATCATTGGAGATAACAATATCTCAACAAATGAACTAATTCTAGGAGTGCATAGTCATTAGCATACATACATATGTAGGGTATATTCGTCTTCGGCGCTATAGATAGCCCACTTATTCGTGTTGTTCTTTCTGTAGCCACTGCCGCCGCCCGTTGTTTTTTTGTGTGTCGTTTTTGGCCAAGGGTCGTCGCATCGTTGCACAAAATTACTTTTTTCCTCCCAAGTGCCAGGAGGCGCAAACAAGAGAATGGAGTGGGGAGTCGGAAAGTGGGCCCTGGGCCTCCTCACTGCCCAGGGAATACAACAGCAGAGGCCACAGCAACAGCAGCAACAGCAGCAGCAGCCCGAAGGTCGATTGATGTACCGTACCATAGAGAGCATTCATGCGCGGGCGTAGTGCCACGGGGGGTTGGCAGAAACAGCAGCAGCAGCAGCAGGCAGCCTCGACTTGCAGCATAAAATTCATATCAATATTGAAACAAATTTTCCACAAATATCAAAAGATTAGAGAAACTTTTCAATTAAGAAATGGAACCTAATCGCAATCATTCCATAAGAGCCCACCCCTTCGGGGACGGCCCAAAATCGAGTCAAGTATTTGTACTACGCCCTTGACAGCAGCTGCTTAAGGGAGGGAGAGAGGTAGGGAATTGGGCGCAGTGGCAGTGGCTGTCGTGGCATAGATATACATAGATGCTTATGCTGTTTATAGCCAAAGCACACAAGCACACCCACGCGCGTATGTAGGTCTGCCGGGCGGCGGAGCACAGGAGCACCACTGACAGCCTGCAGTCGAACCGGTTGCAAGCCAACAGGCTCGAAGCGAACTTGGGGCGAGCCGTTCGTGGTCGAGTTGGATGCAAAGGATAAAAGCGTATCCATATCCATATCCCTCAATGCGTCGGCGCTTCTACACGTTGTCCCGCCTCGCCCCACACACACACAAGTACAAAAACACACACAGAGAGAAAGAGAGACAAAGGGCAGGAAACGAGCTGCTGCTGCTGCTGCTGCTGCTACTGCTGCTACTGGTTAGGCGTCGCATCTCTGTTTTGGCGTGGCACAATTCGCGGGCTCCGCTGTTCGCATTTAACCTTACCAAAGGTTACCATACACCTGCAACAAAAAGAGAGTGAGAGATTAGGCTCGTGCTCGTTTTCGGGCACCCAAAAAAAATGCTAGACACAGCTGTGGCCCGCTATGCCTGCAATTGACAGCCGTGAGACATCGCGATATCCAGCGATGATTTCCATTATTCGCATTGTGTTACACTTTTGCTGCTGTGGGGATTTGCTTAAGGATTAGGATTACGATTACGTCTGTCGAGTGTGTACGGTGTGCGACGACGTTGCGAGCTCCAAGTATTTATTCTTCTAAGTGACTGACAGCTCGAGCGACTTGTGGCAGTGATTTATACGCAAGCCGCCACAAGGGACCATGGATTTCGCTTTCTTTCATAGTCTACTTTCCAGGGGCCGTCCTTAAGAGCTAGAGAAAGAGAGCAGATACATGAGAAATATCATCATAATCAGACGGTCCTCGCTACGTTTTCCATTTTCAAACACACAAACCTTTTTCCTGTCGGAAATGAAAATGTAACGCCTTTTTAGACTACTTACCAACCGAATCTTAATTGCAAAAAGAACTGAGGGACGTTAAAATGTTTCAAATAGGATCCCAAATCGTTTTCAACTATCAAGGTTTGTACTGAGTTACAAATAGTTACATCAACAACTTAAATAGTACTTATTTACTTCCATACATGGGCCTGTCTTGCCATATACATTTATTGAAGGATAACTAATTTACCCTTTTGGAAAATAATTCTATTAAAAAATTAATCTTTTAAATTTGTTGTTTGCAATTTTATTTGTATTATCTCCTATAAGCAAGACTTTTTCTAAGACAAATTTTTCAGCACAGTTTTTCTAACATATTTAACCACCTAAAATGAGGAGGAACGTTGTGCGACACTGAGGCAGCGACACTACTTTTCATCACTGGAAACGGCAGACTAAACTCAAAAAGAAATAAACATGTGCACATTCATAACATTATAAATGCATATGACTTATTTGTACAAACATTTAGTAATATTTGCGTGCTTGCGGAGTTTTTTTGTACCATTGAATCGTACTCGTAATATCTGTGTGTACTTTGTGGTTGTTTGAAGTTGTAGCATCATTTGAATCAGTTGAACTGCACAGTATCGCCGTACTGTCTGATGAGTTTTCCTAGTGACTTGCATCCAAAATAAGCAATCTTAGCGAGTGCCTTGTCGAGAACTTTCATTTTTGCCTCCTAGCTAAGGGCGTAGTAAAACGGAGAGGAGTGTGGGGTACGAGTGCTCTCTTTAGATCCTCAATGCCAAACGAGCGGAAGCTAACTATGGGCGTATAGGGGGAGAGGAGCTTCTGCAGGGTTTCTGTCTGCCAGTCAAGGCAGTTTGGGATCAGGTCAAAAATGTACACAATTAAAACCGTTTGTTTAGACATAGTCCGCAGTCGGAAAACTGGTGAATGAATCCTAACAACACGTCGTATCGCCATGTCAGGGGTCGCTCGCTGGCCCTCCACAAATACCAAAAGATATTATTCTGCCAGGGGAATATCTGGCGTAGGGCATTAGTCGTCATGGTCTTTCCGACGCCGGGTGGGCCGATCAATGCCACCGAGCGGAACAATTCATTGCGACTTAATTCTTATTGCATGCGTACAAGGGCTTGCTCCTGGCGCAGCACCTGCTCGCCAATGTGTTTGAAGATTCGCGGCATATTCACGGGCTGATTACAGTAGTAGTTTCCACCTTTAGTGTGGTGGACGTTGAAATGGGCCACCCATGCCACCACGATTGCGGCCGCAATCAAATTGAGTGCGTTCAAAGACTGGAAAAATAAGTCGCTCGTCGTGTGCCTCGTCGTTTCTTTTCATGGCTAACAAGGAGCGTTCAATGCAATGAAATTGTTTTTATAATTTACAAAACTGCAATGCCAAGTAAAAAAAATTTGCTGTACAATTTACGTTTTTTCGAATTGACCGATTTAAATGGAATATTTTTGCTCTAGCTACATAAATTCTCTATGCCTTTCGTATGACTAAAATGAATTTACTGTCATTTGACAGGGTTTGGAAAATTAGAGACAATAATACAGGGTGTATGTATGTCTGTCAGTGTTTATGATGATGTCCATGTCGGCATTTTCAGCACAAAAACATTGAAATTTCCAATAAGAATCGATGATAAAAGTATAGGGCTTTCGTGTCCTTCGATAAAACAAAATCGTTTTGTTTATTTCGACTGCATAATTCATTTATAATCATAATAATAATAATAATAATAATAGTTAATGGATTTGCTTTCCGATGCCCCCGATCATACCCATATCCTCCACACATTCTCATTTCTCAGCTCGCCTCCAGCCAGCATAACTATTGTTATATTTATATATATGTATATATGTTTGTATGTATGTGTGTGTTCTTGTGTTGCAATTATATTTATTATAGATATTATCTAGTTTTCCCACTGTGCTCTTCATGGTTACTTCCTTTGCTATCTCCTCCTGCTGGGCTCCGTTTCAGCTCATTTTATCGACTTTAAGTACGTGCTCACAGGAAATAACAATATATAAATATTTTTCTTGTGTGTGTACATGTATTGTATGCACGTATGTATGTATATGTTTATACATACATCAAAGGCCTTATCCTCTGTATGGATATGCTGCTGCTGCTGCTGCTGCTGAGGCTGAAGCTGTAGCTCTTTCCCTGCCAGAAACTGATCTTCGCTGTTCCTTTTCGACATTGGTCTACAAAAAATCAAATAAAACAAAGAACAAAAAACCATTTGTGGGCACAATTGCATTACAAATAAGAGTTAACAGTGCTTCTTCATGGATGCTTTATCAAATGGCCGGCCATACATTTCTTTTCATTTCATTTCTTTTCCATTTTTAAATCGTTAAAAATGCTCAACTTCTCCCTTTAAATGCCTTTTTTGCTACACAAATTCACATATGGTTTTGTTATTGTTTAATACAAATTCTGTTTAGTTTGCCAATTTACGTTAGTTTTTTTGGGGGCTATTTATAAGGTTTTGACTTTTATTGTCTTACAAATTAAAACTCAAAGTTGTCTTTTACACACACAAACAAAAATAAAGACACTAATAACACACGGATACAAAATGCACAATAAATTGGACAAAACAATGGACAAACAATTCTGACAAGAAATCAATGCGGTACAGTATATAAATAAATTAGAAAAACAAATACGAAAATGGGGCCCGTTTTAAGCTTGAGCGCTGACTGGTGGCTGGAGAAAAAATCCCCAGTCTGGCAGCGCTGGGCGCCAATCTGAAATCTAGATGTTATTGTACATATGTTAACTTAATTTACAATAAATGTGTGACAACCACAGTATGTATGTGTGTGTGTGTGTGTGTTAGCTTTTAGAATTGTTGCTCATTTCTGTTCCTCCTGTTTCCTGCTCCACCTACTGCTGCTGTTGGTTGCTGCTGTTCCATCTCCTTCTCCTTCTCCGTTTTTGAGTTTTTTTTTTGCATTTATTTCTTTTGTTGTTTGTTTTGGATATATTAGGCTAATTTTGCTTTAATACAAGTTACACTCTTTTATTCTGCTTGTCCTGGCTGCTGCTCTGGAAAGCCACTGACCTCCGTCTGCTCCACCAGCTGCTGGCCATCGAGCGCATACTGAATACGCAAACGCATACGCAATACCGCCTGAAAATCGCAGAAAATATCAGTTTAATTAGGGATACCATAGAGAATACTTGAGACTCACATTTGATGTGGCCACTACGCGCATTTCCTGCGTGATAATACCACCAGGCGGCAGCAGGTTACCCGACGGTGTCAGCATTTGCAGTTGGAAACTCTTTTGAACGGCCGCCTGTTGACCAAAAGACAGAAAAAATATAAGGTATCAGTCAGAGAGGGCGAAAAGCTTAATTTGCGGAATGGGCATCCATTAACCTTTAGCAAATATTGCTCTAATGTATTTCCTGAGCCATTTGTTGTCGTCATATAGATCCTCATGCAATCATTGCCCGTAACCGGTACCAGTTGCACCAGCAGACCATCCTTATCCAATGCAGTCAGCTTGGGTCCCTGCGGTGGCTATTTAAAACAAATCTCATTACAAATTGATAAAATATTAATTATGTGTATAGTCACCACAGTCACGTTGTTGGAGGCTGCTGTGGGATTTAGATCACCCAGTAGAATGCTGCCATTGCCATCCGCTCCTGCTGATGCACCTACTGCTGGTAGTGGGGCTGAGGCGCCGGACAGGCCGCCCAGCATGCTGGCCACCAGATCATTACCATTTGTGGGTACGCTGCCAGAGCCAGAGTCAGGAGCCCCAAAGCCACCCAGATCAAGGCCGCCCAGCATGTTATTCATATTAGTTGCACTGGAATGATGTTGATCCAGCAAGATACCGCCCGCACCTGGCGTCGTCGTTGTAACCCCCGCAGGGGCCGTCATATCCAGATCAAGTAGGTCCAACAGATCCTGATTATTGGACACGGAAACGCCAACATCATTAGCATTCCGGGTGTTCTTTTTATGCACGGCATTCGACAGATCGGTGGCTGTCACCAGTTCACTGGCACCCGCCGACAGATCTGTGCTGCCCAATAGATCCAGGAGAATGTTCTGTAAAAAAGAGAGAGCAATTTATAGAGAGGATAAATGGGGGGTGAGGGTGGAATGCCCTTACCGTATTGTCACCCAGCATATTCATATTGCTTTCGATAAGTGAATGTCCAACATTGCCCACATTGCCAACACCCTCCACACCATTCTCGATAACATCTGGACTATTGTCATCAAAGGAGCCACCACTTTCGCCATTTTGCGAGCTTATGCGACTGATCTGCATGGCCGGCATCTTTTCGAGCAGCGGTGGACGCAGATGCTTATAGTGGCCAAAGAGTTGTGTGAATTCAACGCCTCGCTGCTGCAGATCCACATTGAGATGGCTGCCAAACGAGGTGATTAGAGCTTGTACTTCCCTAAGAACAGAAAGAGGGTTGCATTAGAGAAGAGATCGTTGATAAGGCGAGAGAGATGGCTTGGACTCACTCCACACATTGCTGCAGACGCGTGCTTAGCTTGGCTAGGGAGACCAGGGCGTATTGCTTGCTTGTGGTCGAGACTTGAGCAGAGGTTAAAAACTTATGATACATGGCGATCAGATCGCTCTCAGAGGGACGTTCAAACTCTGAAACCAAACAGGAATAGACAATTGGAAAGAGGAAATAACCACCATGGCCATCCACACTCACCATCCTCATTTGAGCCATACATGAAGAGGTCCCCGTACTCGCCTATGGCCCAGACGGCAACCTGCAACAATGGCTGCTTATCCTCGCAATGGTTTGCCACCTGCAGCGATTCCCAGAATCGATTCGTGATGTATGTTTGCTCTGACACTGGGCTGCTGGACACCAGCTGTATGGTAGAGGACACCACATCATCGCGCACATAATTGCCAGCGGCAATCAGGACACTTAGCTGTGTATCCAGATGCCAGCGCGTATTGGGCGAATAGCGCTCAGCAGCCAATATCATGCCCGAACTGCATTGAGCCTTGAATTCAGCATCGGCCTTCTCGAGGAACAGCAGCAGCTCCTTGGTCATTGTACGTATATTTTGTGCATTGATCAGGGCAAACGATAGTTCCATTGCCCGACGACGAATCGAGACATCTGGATCCTTGAGGCATTCCAGAATGGTGGTGCGATGCCGTTGCACTGCCGATGTGTCCGCATGGACAGTGCGGAGCAGCGTATTCAGTGCCACATAGCGAATGTTCTTGTCCGAATTGAGTAGGAATCGTCCCAGTATATTCACAGCCAGGACACGTAGGCCACCCTCCGAGCTGACCAAGGAGAGGAAGAGACATGAGTATATCTTATTGACATTCTGAGAGTTCCATTACCGTATATCCATTATGGAAAGCACTGTCTCGTAGAGTATGGTGTTCCCCACATTTTTGCTCGTCTCCGTATTGGTCGCCACCTGTGCCAGTATATCGTTCATCGCCTCCGAGGCATCTGGATCATTGTGGCCGAGGATGCGCAGCAAACGTAATATCTTCACCTGCAGAAACGGATCGCTCACACCGCTCACATCGTGCTCCGGCGAATAGCCGCCCAATATCAGATTCTTCAGTATGCGCACTAGATTCGGCACAATCTGTGTGGGTGTGTGGATGAGTAGAAAGTATTATTAACTTGGTTTTGGGTGTTCGAAAACGTTCAGATTCGGTAACAGGGAAATGCAGAAAGTAATTCGTAATAGTGTGTATTTTTTTTAACAGTGTGAAAAACAACAACTGGACGAGACAGAATGAGCGTGTGGTGTGGTGAGTTTGGGTGTGGTGTGCGCGTGGTTCATTGTGGTTGTGTGTGTTACAGACCTCTCGTAGGTCAAAAAAACTCTATGTACAGGAGCTAGTACAGGCGTGTACAAGTGGATAGAGAGAGACTTCCTACCAAAAAAAAAAAAAAAAAAATAGTGGATCTACAAAACACTCGCTCCAAAAGTGAAATCCATTAAATATGTATATGTCTTTGCATCGCTTATGAGACTTAAAGGCTCCACTGGAGTGCTTGGTACTCTAAAAGCCGACTGGCAATGATAAACCATGCACGTAATACACTCGGTAACTCCTATCGCAGCCACAAACCAGTATCAAAGCATGGGTTTTAATCGTTTTAAGCGTTGATCAATTATGATTTTACATTAGCCGCGACATTTATCAAGACATATACATAGGCAACAGACAAAAACTGGTTCAAAAACAAAACAGAAAAATATTGCATACAATATACATGGTAATAGGTGTATGTATATATAGAGAGCGAGAGACAGAGAGAGAGAAACACATAGAGAAAGAGAGGCGTTTTATATAGGAGGAATATTTCTAGTAGGCACAAAACGATCATACCTCTCGATTTCCGCTATCCTGGCAAGCAAATTACAACAAATTTCATTTTGTTTTGCGCGGTATTCGATCAAAAACAAAAACGAGCATTAAAATTGTAGTATACAGGTTGTTTGATCAAAAAACAAACAAACAAAAAACCACAAGATCCAGGGAACAGAAAAACAAAAATAATGTGTGTAATTTTGCAAATTAAAGAATTAGATATAGAAATTAGGGTGGGGTTGGGGAGGGGACTATATACATATGTATAGTTAGAGATTGGCTTTGGATTGTATTTAACTACATCTAGAAGACCGCACGATGGGCCACAAAACGTTTCGACGCCAACCTGTGTTTAAGGCTTTTCTTTTTCGAGCGCCACAAAAACAAAAGAGGAAAAAGAATACGTATGAAAGAAAAGAAAAATCAGAGTACGAGACATATGGAAGAAGATGCCACGAGCAGCAGCTGCAGCTGCAGCATTAGTAGTATTAGTATTAGGATGTAGCCTCTGCTGTGGGGGCGGTGGGGAACACACATTATTTTCTTGGGGCACAACTATCAGCTTACCTTCTTAAAGTGCATCAGCGTGTCTGAGCTGTTCTCGCACATTTCCGTGATGAGCGTTACGCCAGTGATCAAAATTCCTGCATAGATGGATGGAATATGGTTAACATCGTGCAAGTACACACTGGGACTTTTTTTTAGGGACTTCACCATGATTCTTTTCGCTGAGCAGTGAACGCGTCGCCGGCAGGAATATCTCCATCAGCTCGGGAACTCGACGAATCACACGAAAGGCGCACAGCGTTGCCTTCTTTCTGATGTACGTATTCGGTGACTTCATCAGACGCTCCACTTCGCTGGCCAAATCACGTGCCATCTCTGGCGATGCAATTGCTCCCAAAGTGCACAGCGCCAGGCCGACCACAAACTGTGTCGAGCTGTTCAAGTCACTGAAAGATGGACATGGGATGCGATCAAATTAAATTCTTTTTAGTTTTAGTTCTTTTTGGATTTACTTCTTGAGACAATTCGTGATCAGCAAGTGTACATCTTGCCGCTCATCCAGCAGCAGCATGGCCCCGAGATAACCGATTCGCTTGTCTGTGAATCGCGTGCTGGCGGTCAGCTTAAGGCACTCCAGTTGTCCAAAGTGAGCCGGATAGCCGAGCATGTGTATGTACAGCAGCTTGGCAATGTTGCGACAGCTGAAAATGTTTAATTAAAGCAATTATTAGATGGTTTACTTGAAGTAGTTTAAGGCAGGACTTCTTGAGTCCACCCCACTTACCGCCAGACAGAATCCTCCTCCCGGAATGTGCTCCGTATGTAGGCGCATTCTTTGTTGACAACGGCACGCTCCTCGGCAGCAGTGCGGGCGGCGCGTATCTGTCGGATGAGATCGCGCAGGCGTGTGGGCGTGGGCATTCTGACTGTGTGTTTGTAGGATGATCAATGATCATCAAGTTAATTAATCGAATGCACATACAATGCGTTCTCCTTCTCTTCACTTACCTCTCTCAACCGCCTCTGTAAATGCCTGCCGTATGGTGGCCATATTGAAGGCTGGATTGAATCTGTTTTTGGGTGGATAGAAGGAGAAGAGAAGGAGATTTTAGCGAGAGGAGTATGAGGTAACTGAAGCCGGTTGTTAGGCCTACCCATGCTCGGAATTCATTGTGGAGGCAAAAACGTTGAATCACTTTTGCAGCTTTTTGTCTGCAGTTTGCCTGCTCTCTCACGCTCTTTCTTTCTGTGGGGCCCCACTGCAATTTCTGTTGACGCTGGCGAACGCCTGTTCGCTTTCTTGTGTTGTCGCTGTGTTTGTTTTTCACTCTTTGCTTTTATCTGTTTTTGCCGGCCTACGCGTTAAAGTTCGCGTTCTTGACTGCTGGACTGCGTGGGCGGCCGTGTGGGCGTGTCGGCGTGTCGGCGATGGTACGGCAGCCGCGTTTGTCTTTTTATGCAGATCTTCACGTGAACTCACACTCCAGAACATACATACATATGTAAATGCACAAGAAACAGCCGGCCGCTATTCCGTTATACTTTTGTTCGCTCTGCTCTCCTTACACTTTTGCTATAATGGGCAGCACAATCTGGTTACTCACTCGCTAGCTCGGTCTTCTTCTCTCTTTACCCGTGTTACTAATCTACTAAAAAAGACCTCTGGGTAAATGAGTGCGAGCAGTAGCATTTATTGCTGACGGCAGTAGATCAACGGTTGTTATGAAACTTGACATCTCTCATCCGAGCGCGGGTGCGTGTGCTTCTCTCTCTCTCTCTGAGTGAGTGTGTGTTGGTTCAAACAAATGTAAGCACGATCTGGCCAAGGCAAAACAAGCAACATGAAACAGTTCGAGGGAAAGGGTAGTACCTCGAATTAGGGCTAGCAGGTGTTAACTGAGCCGAGACATATACATATGTCGATCGGACAGGACGGGGAATGCAAATTGATTAAGTGATTAATGCCTGAAACCGCACTTGAAGCATTGACACCAATACGCACGCACACTCCGCACTCTCACACAAAAGGGCAAAACACTTCAATATGCAAGCGACATTCCAATTGGAATGTTCAGAAACACGCAACCAAACACAAAGTATGTGCAAAATGTGGAGTTTAACGAAGAGATCTCTGCACTTAATGGTTATCACTAGATCTACTTTTTTTCAAAACTAATGAATGGCCAGAAACCCATACAAATGGCCAAAACAGCTGCCGTCATCGATAGACACTCAGTAACCAACATAAATATATCGATTGACAGTGGAATTAATAAGACACTGGTGGCACATTTGTATACTATCTGCGAATATTTGACGAATTTTAACACGTATTGTTAGAGGGGACTTTGAGTTTTCCCTGGTTTTCTTTCCGCTTTTCTGTTGCTAATTTATGCCATTCATTGGAAAGCCCACACACAGATACACCCAACCAACCAACACACACAAACACGCACACATGCATGCAGGCCCTGTTTAGCGTATGCTCCTTTTTGGAGAAGAAAATCCTACACTTTTGTCGGTTGAATGCATTTAAGCTACTATTTAACACTTTGGCGACTAAGTGCGCTCTTATTGGCTAAGCGTCATTCGGTTTCATTTAGTGTTTGGTTAACCACCTGCCCTCCGCCTCCGCGTCAGCCAACTTCCAATGCGAAATTTTACAACGCGACAAAAAAATTTCAACACAAGGGGACACGGACACACTGGTGGGCCTTTTATTGGCTGGAATGATTTCAATTTGGCGACAACTGGGTGGGCTACGCTCAACACATGTTCTCACTGCATTAGTTTATGCTATATTTGAATTTAAATGCCACAAAATCAACGTAACAAGTAAAAAAATGTTCGCAGAGAATATGTTGATGATGAGCGCAACAGTAGTAGAGCGAGTGAGAGGGCGATATTTACAAAGAAGCGCAAAAATATACTAACGCGTTGATCAACAAAATACTGTAATTTGTGCAATTGAAACCTCTAGTTCAATACTAAGAATATAAATTATTCTACATAGACTTGAATGAAATATTGTTAAAATGAAATTCATATTTAAATTGCAAGCATTAAATTCCGAGTGACTCAACGGTTTGCTCCAAAAAATACAAAAAAGATGATCCATGAGAGTGCAGCAGAATGTGAATGCGGTCACTCTGACTAGCCATAACGTCATTTTTAAAAATCCCAAAATAATTTTTAAATAGGCCCGCTTACCTGCGATTGTTTTCCGGTGGCAGCACGCTCCAATCCTGCTCATAATACGGATACATGACTCTCAGATGTGATTATTTTGATGGAGTATCAATAAGTAGCAGCAGTAGTTGTGGGAGTAGCAGGAAGGAAACATTAACTAACTTGCACACACAACACAACAGTCGTATGTATAAACACTCTGGTTTTGTGCTCCACTGACACTGGAATAATGATAAGCACGCCCCACTACAGTGCTCCACATAGGCACACTGTGTCCGTGTTATCTAATGTACATTAACAGGTAAGTAATTCCGTAGGCTGCTTTTCTCTTTCAATGTATATACACATATAAAACTACAAGTATATTTTCTTGGTCTTGTTCTTTTATTTGGTTGTTGGTCGCTGAGCCGGAGAAGGTTTAAGGCACTAATAGTTTATGGGGCGAGTTCATTCCATTATTTGAACGTTAAACAAGGATTGAACAGAACGGATGGACTGGCTGGCCCGCGCCGATGAAACTTCTGCAAAAGACTGACATAGCCTGCCGCATGGGGCCCCAGCTCTCTCCCCTCCGCCACTGCAAGTGTTTGCAGTATTATATTGGTGGCACAGTCCGATAGAGACGAAAACTACACACACTTATCTATCGGAGGGCTGATAACACCACTCCGTGAGAACATATAACAATCTGCTTTAGGTATTTGTCGTCGTTGTTGTTCCTTTTTTTTTTGGATAAGCAAAGTCGTCATTGACAACTGCCATTGAGGGACTGGAGCAGAGGTCTGGACGTGGTCTGTGGCGAACCTGAGGGGAAGATAAGGAATTCAAAGCAATGTCAGACTCACGCTTGGGTTTTTTTTCCGGGGCATTTAAGTATAACAACATTATCTACATATTTATGTATGAATAGAGCAGTAGGAAGGATCCATACTACTCTGCACACTCTCTCACCTATAACTAAAAACTGTATACCTTAGACCTTAAATATTAAAGCTACTAGTAGGTAAGGCTGCTGCTGCTGTTGCTCTCGTTGCATTGTTCAATCGTTCTCTCGCGGCGGCCGTACTAAGGCATGCCGCTTGATGGCCTCGACTAGCCATTTGATGCCCTCGTCCACACCCTCACCGGTTAACGCTGAGACGGGTATGGTGAGGCAATCACGGCGACCGATGAGGGCACCAGCCTGCTGGAAGACTGGCTTTATCTCACGCACGCCCATCACATCGGGCAGATCCTGTTTGTTGGCCAGTATAAGCAGTGGCACACCCGAGAGCAGCTCATTCTTGATCATTTTATCTGTTCGTTTAGAGAAAGGGGGACATTTAAATCGAGATTTTAGATTGGATCTTTGGGCATACCAAAAATGATCTTCGACTCGTCCATGCGCTCCCGATCATTCGAGTCTATCACATAGATGACGCCATGGGACTCTTGGTAGTATTTGTCCCACAGCGATTGCAGCTCCTGCTGGCCGCCCAGATCCCAGAAGTTCAGTCGCACGCCCAGCACATCGATGGTGCCAATGTTGAGGCCAACTGTCGTTGTGATTTTCGTTGGGTTTAGGCCCTTGTAGTTCCTTGTAAACTTAGTCTTGGCCGCCTCCAGGTACGTCTGTTGCGTGGGCGGAATTGGAAGGTAGAGAGAGAGAATCATGATGAGAGGGAGAGAGAGTTTTGCAGACGTGTCTATAATTCTGGATTCTGATGGCTGAGACATACCGTTTTGCCAGCATTGTCCAGGCCTAGGATCACCACACAGTACTCGTCTTTTTGTGTAAAGTATTTGTAGAAGCCGTGCAGCAGTGTGTACATTTTTTTTGTTCTATTTATTTATTGTTGTTAACTTCAATTTTGTTGTCTCTGTCGTGACAGCTGCCTGCCTCTGTCGCACCACCTCTCTTCCACAGCTATTGGACTCTTCGATAGTATCGATAGTATCTTGAAGTAGTGGCAACCCTAACTTTCTACAGATGCTTTTAATGTTGTTTTTGTTTTGCATTGCTGATTCCGGTTCACTGCTGTGCAAAGTGCATAATTAATGCAATATAGGGACAGTATCAGGTTCTTGCCCTCCCGCTGGTTGTTTACGCGCAAATTACTAATTGTCGGTGTTGCTGTTGCTGTCACAAGCCGCACAGCCTTCGCCTCGACAACAACTGGCAAGCGGATCTTGTGTTCTACAACCAAAATGACAGACCAGAAGACTTGTGATTCATCCTACATTGCAGGAAGCAATTCGGTGGCCTTTGTGACCACACCGGACAGGGAGTCGGCCAAGAAGTTGGCTCACGGCATCATTGACCGTAAAATAGCCGCCTGTGTCAACATTATACCAAAAATTGAGTCCATCTACATGTGGGAGGGCAAAGTCACCGAGGACGATGAGTATTTGATGATGATCAAGACTCGCACGGAGCGCATCGATCAGCTGAGCAAGTTCGTCCGCGAGAATCATCCACACAGCGTCGCCGAGGTGATCTCCATGCCCATTGAAAATGGCAATTTGCCATATTTAAACTGGATCGCACAAACAGTGCCGGAGCTGAAGAAGAACAAAGACTAAACTAGACCCAAACATACAAAATGTAAAAATAATAAACTTAGAATAAAATCTCATATGAATATATTTGTTTTGAAAAATTTGCAAAAATTCCACGATTTTCCAAATCAAAGTATCGATAAAAAAGGCAGCCAGTATCGATATATTCATGTGCCCCGCACCCCTGGCAGCTCTTCTCAACTGGCTGTGTGTGTGCGTGTGCGTGTGCGTGTTTTTTTCTCCCAATCTCTTTCATTTTGTATCACAAAACTTAGACGCAACGCAAAAAGGTGGTGTTCAACAACAATAATAATAAGGAAAACCAAAAGCAATCATATAAATGTCGCTGTCGAGTCTGCTACCCACGCCGACCAATGCGGTTTGGGACCGCGAGGACGAGCGTCGCCTGGCCGCCAAAGGTGCCCCGAAAATCGGAGCCCTGGTCTCCGCCAAAATCGCAGCTCCCCCGTACGGTTGTCGCAAAGAGTGGGTGCCCCGCACAGAAGCTGACTTTGGCGATGGCGGTGCATTTCCCGAAATACATGTGGCACAATATCCACTGGGTGAGTTCTGGGCGCAGGCTTCACGGGGCCTCTCCTCCAGGGCATTTGTCATATGATCCTAATTTGTTTTTTGGTGGCTTTCACTTAGGTCTTGGTGCCCCGGGTACCATGGGCAAGAAGTCCGATGCATTGGCTGTACGTCTGGATGATCAGGGAAAAATCAAATACGATGCGATAGCACGACAGGGACATGGAAAAGGCAAAGTTGTCTACTCTTCCATCTCGCAGCTTCTGCCTGCCGAGGTGCTGGCCGAGGATGCCGAGGAGCTGCAGCGCCCCGATGAGGAGAGCGTCGCCGAGACCACTGAGGAGACGCGCCTGGCCCTGGAGAAGTTGACCAACCAAAAGATAACCTCAGCACTGCCCGTCCGTCATGCCCAGAAGGCGGGACCGGCCCAATACATTCGCTACACGCCTTCCCAGCAGGGCGATGCCTTCAACTCGGGGGCCAAGCAGCGAGTCATCAGGATGGTGGAGGCCCAGCTGGATCCCATGGAGCCGCCCAAGTTTCGCATCAATAAGAAAATCCCGCGTGGTCCACCGTCTCCACCGGCACCAGTTTTGCACTCGCCGTCGCGCAAAGTGACGGTCAAGGAGCAAAAGGAATGGAAGATCCCTCCCTGCATTTCCAACTGGAAGAACGCCAAAGGTGAGTGCTCCCTCTACCACTGCCATTTCAATTAAATTCTAACTGAAACTCTCTCCCATAGGCTACACCATTCCGCTGGACAAGCGTTTGGCTGCCGATGGACGGGGCCTGCAGCAGGTGCACATCAACGAGAAGTTCGCCAAGATGGCCGAGGCCCTGTACATAGCCGATCGCAAGGCCCGCGAGGCGGTGGAGGCACGAGCTCAGCTGGAAAAGAAGCTGGCCCAAAAGGAGAAGGAAAAGAAGGAGGACATGCTGCGGATGATGGCACAGCGGGCGCGTGAAGAGCGTGCCGGCCTGCGCAATCCGGAAACAGCTAGCGATCCCATTGGAGGCGGCGGGGCCATTGGGGCTGAGGCGCGGGAACGCAACGATCTGCGTGCGGAGCGACAAAGGGAGCGACAGCGTGATAGAAATCTGCAGCGTGCTGCGCCCGAGAAGCGCTCCAAGCTGCAAAAGGAGCGAGAGCGCGACATTTCCGAGCAGATAGCCCTCGGTCTGCCCGCCAAGAGTGCCGGCAATGGCGAAGCCCTCTTCGACCAGCGTCTCTTCAACACCACCAAGGGCATGGACTCGGGCTACGGTGACGATGAGGCCTACAATGTGTACGACAAGCCATGGCGCGACGCCAACACCCTGGGCAACCACATCTACAGGCCCAGCAAGCAGGCGGACAGCGACAATTATGGCGGGGATCTGGATGCCATTGTGAATACCAAACGATTTGTGCCGGACAAACAGTTCTCGGGGGCATCGCGTGAAACGGCCGCTGCCCAACGCAGCGGACCCGTTGAATTCGAGAAGGAGGAGGATCCCTTCGGCCTCGATCAATTCTTAAACATGGCCAAAAAGGCGCCCAAGCGGGCCGAGGAGAAGAACGAGCGCAACAGCCAATCGGAACGCAAACGCAGTCGTCGCGACTAGAACATCGCATGCGTACAGCTGCATAATTCATAATCATCAATCATCTTTGATCATTGATCATCATCATCAGCATCATCCTCATAATTGATAATCGACATACACTCCTTGTGCAAATTGAATAATAATCACACTGACGAAAACAAGTCGCAATTTGAGCATTTTAATTTATTCTTGTAATCCTTCATGTCCCATTAGCATCTCACATCCATAACGAGACTCGAGGCACAGCGTTACATGGATAGAATCGTTAGAAGCTAGAGGTTATATGTGGTTAGTGCCTCTTTGTTTGTTGGTCCAGTGAGAAGATGAAGCAAGGCTGTGCCCACAGGCTGCACCATATTCAAATCTGCAGACTACTTTTTCCCGCTCAGCGGATAACTGCAGATGGAGATGTTACGGGTTGTTGAAAACCACAAAGAATCGAGACTCCCCGTGCAAGAATCTTTTCTTAAAGAATGAGCTTCGTGCATCTATCGTTTTATGCATTTGATGATATAACTTGCTGGTAATTCAAAACAAAATTCAACATAGCTTTTACGACGAGTATTTTTTTCGGGGGCCAAAAATCGATCGACAAAATACTGAAGCTGGTTATTTGATAATATTTGAAAAAGTAACCATAAAGAATACTTTACTGATGATTTATTTGTATTAAATTCAGATTTACTTTCATTATCTAATGCAAACTGCATGCCATAAATTTGTACATATGTATAGGCAGAAGACGAGTGTTTTATAGTCACTGTGGCGGGCATTTCCGATGTTCAGACGTACTCCTTGCCGTCACGGCGCAAAATTCACACTGCTGGCACACAAAGGTCTTATCCAGAAGCTTCCTCCACCATCCTCATGATCTTTGGTACTCTTTTACTGTACCCGCAATGTTCTGGGCACTGCTGCACATAGAAAGACTCCTGGCGCTTCTTTAAATGTTATTCCCGATGACGGAAAATACCCATATACCACCTCGAAAAAGAGACCCCTTCTGGTTTTTAGTTCACCCTTAAAATTAAAATTTAATGTGTTGATCCAACTGATTGGACATACAATATAATTTCGAGAAGTTCACTCTGCTATAATTTGGGATGCTATTTTATTGGTATTTTCCTGCTAGTGTTCATTGCTACTTATCGGTATTTGGGAGTAGATTTCCTATTAGTATTTTCTAGCTACTGTCTATCGAATTCATATTGGTATTTTGTTGTTGCGGCTCAAAAAGTGCCAATCTAGGCTTAAATTTCATTTTTCTGCATTGGCATTTTTTAATGTAAACAAATGAGTTATATGTATTAGTTCAATCGTTGCTCATAAAGGGTTTCTAATTTCGATCTGTCTATTCAGTTGATTTACTTCAAAAAACTAAAGAAATAATTTTGAATATGGAAAACCCGGGCCGGAAAGTTAAGCGTAAAGAGGAAACGGCTGACTGCGCCGACTCACAGCCCCTGGCCGAAAATCTCATGCAGCGAGAGGCGATAAAAACGCCGGAGGAGCACAAGGCAAGGGTGAGGCAGCTGCAGGCCACAAAATGTGGGACAAGAGATGTGAAATAAGTTGAATTCCGCAGTCCCCGTTCCCCCCTTTGGCAGAGAATGAAGCTGCCGCCGCCGGTGCAGCGGAGGCTGCTTCCAGCGAGAATAGCGATGTGGATCCCCTCTCCAACATACCGTACCTAAGACTGTGCACTGCTTCTTCCTTTCTCAAACGAAAGGCAGCCACACCCACGGAGAGAAAATCTGTGCCCAAGACTCCACGTGCCAATGGAGCTGATCAAATTGCAGGTCTTTGCGGCAGGGATATGCCCAGCCTGGGAACAAACTCCTCCTCCTCCTTCTCCTCCTCCTCCTCCTCCTACACCTCTTCCTCTACCTCTTCCCCTACCTCCTCCAGTGAGGAGAAACTGCATTCTTCCAGCGTGGATACCGAAACCACAACCGATTCCCCCCAGACGCCCGAACCAGAGGCGGAGCAGGAAACAGCAGCTGCTCCGATTACTTTCTTGCCAAAGTACAACCGCTACGAGCAGGAGAAGTTCCTCCAGCCGCTGTCCACTCAGACGAACTTTGTGATCGATCCGCTGGGCACTCACTTTCCCGAGGGTCCCTATCGACTCCAGAGTCTCGAACAGGTGCCTCCCCCGATGCGCTTGCCCATCATAGTGCTGCCAGCAGATCCCCATGGCCTGATCACTTTGAAAAATGTTAAAGCCTTGCTGGTGGATCTGAAGTTCCAGCAGTCAGAGGAGCGTCCGTGTCCCTGGGCTCCAGTAGAGCAGCATCGCGAGGAGGTCATTATAGAGCGATGGTTTGCGGTGAGAGTTGCATTTTGCTTTGATTATCAGCCTCGCCCCATAACGATTTGTTTACTTTACCTTAGGGTGGCGTAAGTAGGAAATATAAAGTCATTGATGATGTCGCAAAATTGGCATCGTTCGATGAGTGGCGTCGCATTGTGGCCGTCTTTGCCTGCGGCCCCATCGACCAATTCAAGAACTGGTGGCCCTGGAAGCGCAATGCCAAATTGATCTTCCTGAATGTGTGCGCCTTTCACCTTTACGTAAAGGGCACAGCCGTGCATCGGGATATCGCTCAAATGTTGGACACAATGGAAGTGAATCCACTCGAAATAGATCTCCCCGAGCCGTACACACACAGCGGCACATTGCTTTCCTTTTGGGGCAGACTGGACAAGTTTGTTCACTCCAATGCAAGATTTCGCTTCCTCTTGGATGATTATTATCCAGCTAATACGTACTACTAGCTGCAGAAAAGCCAAGGCCATATAGAGATAGCTGCTGGAGGGAGTAGTAAGAATGTTCTCAGATTTCTGGAACAGTTCAGCATTAATATATATGATCTTTTCATTCGTTGAAGAGTAGCCTGTTTATGTCTCTCATTTATATCAGATTTATTTGTATTAATCCATAGACTCGTTTAAAGATGTAAGTTTTTGGACTTGAAGTTGGCGCCCAACAATTCGTTCATTTTGATTCAGTGAACTAGCTCAAACTTATGGTTCGTTCAATTTTGTACCCTCTCTAGGTCACACACTCTGCATTTAATGCTATTTTAGTATTTCTTCGATCAAGAAGTGTTGTTCTTCTAGTATTTTTTGAAAGCGATTTCTGTTGTTGGCTTTATTTTTTTAAAGCGCACTTTATAGACCATCAAATAAAAGAGAGTACTTATTGTTGCCTTATCTTGTCAAAAATGCATTTGCGTAAAATTATATGTGCAGTGCTGAGAGTATTAGCTCCCCGAGAAATAAGATTCCCGATCGTGAACAAGCGAAACGATAAGAAGTTCGTTTTTTGGTTCGTTCATTATCGAACCAATACCGTTTGGCCGCCTCTGGTCACACTGCATGACATTGAGTTGACTTTTGGTTTGGTTTTTTTAATTACAATTACATTTTATTTGCAAAGAACGGACAGAAAATACATTGATATTGATTGTGGCAACTCGCGTTACTTCACATACGACTTCTCATCGAGAATGAGATGGATTGCAAGTGCTGACGACGTTTCTAGCGGGTTCTAGGGGTTCATGAAGCGTGTGGTCGCAGTGGTCGGGTCGGTTGGTCATCCTCCTCTGCCTCTGTGAGAGGCGCCTCTCACGGCCGTGAGACAACAATTGCATGCGTGCGTGCCCTGGCTGCCCCACAGACCACAACAAACGATTCTAAATTATGTAAGTGATCATTTCAAGTGCAGTAGCTGCATGCAGCAGCCACAGCAACAGCAGCAGCAGCAGCAGCATCCAACGATTTTAACAAACCTAACACATGGCATGCTCTTTTTGTACGTGTAGTGACAGAGACAGCACACACATAGGCGAGATGCGTTCACGTAGCAATTCGGGCGTCCGCTTGGACTACTATCAGCGGATTGTTCATCGCCTTATATTGGCGCACCAGGAGCCGGTGACCGGCCTATTTCCTGCCTCCAATGTCAACTCGCATGCATGGATACGCGACAATGTGTACTGCATCCTGGCCGTTTGGGGCTTGTCGATGGCCTACAAGAAGATAGCCGATCAGGATGAGGATCGTGCCAAATGCTACGAGCTGGAGCAGAGCTGTGTGAAGCTAATGCGCGGCCTGCTCATGGCCATGATGAACCAAAAGGACAAGGTCGAAAAGTTCAAGATGACCCAGAGCCCCTACGATTCGCTGCATGCCAAGTACTCCAGCAAAAATGGCCTGCCCGTGGTCGAGGATGGCGAGTGGGGACATCTGCAAATCGATGCCGTCTCTCTGTATCTCCTGATCCTGGCCCAAATGACAGCCTCCGGTCTGCAGATTGTCTTCTCCCTGGACGAGGTGTCGTTCATACAGAATCTGGTCTTTTACATTGAATCGGCCTACTCCATACCCGACTATGGCATCTGGGAGCGTGGCGACAAGACCAATCATGGTGGGTTACACTTTTCCTCCACCTTTTGGTGCACTTAATATAACAGAAATAACACAAAAATTCTGTGTGTTCAGGTGAGCCGGAATTAAATGCCAGCTCCATTGGCATGGCCAAGGCCGCCTTGGAGGCGATGAACGAATTGGATTTGTTTGGGGCACGCGGCGGACCGGCCAGCGTCATTCATGTACTTGCCGATGAGGCGCACAAATGCCAGGCTGTGCTTCAGTCCATGCTGCCACGTGAATCCAACAGCAAGGAGCTGGACTCGGGCCTCCTGTGTGTGATTGGATTTCCCGCGTTCGCCGTGGACGATGCCCAGCTGATACACAACACCAAAGATGCGATTCTGTCCCGCTTGCAGGGTAAATACGGCTGCAAGCGCTTCCTGCGCGATGGCTATCGCACACCCAAAGAGGATCCCTCCAGGCTCTACTACGAGCGCTGGGAGCTGCGCATGTTCGAGAACATTGAGTGCGAATGGCCGCTCTTCTTCTGCTACCTCATCCTGTTCCATGCATTTCAAAACGACAAGCGCTCGGTGCAGGAGTATGCCGATCGTTTGGAGAAGATAATGGTCCGCTCCGAGGATGGCACACTGCTGGTGCCCGAAAGCTATGCTGTGCCCCAGGATCTGGTGGGATTCGAGTATCAAAAACCTGGATCACAGCTGCGCGAAGTTGTGGGCCGTTGTCCCTTCCTGTGGGGTCAATCGCTGTTCATTTTGGGCCGTCTCCTGCAGGAGGTAAAGTATAAATTATGAAGAAATTTCTGCAATTGAAACTAATTCTAGTTCCATTTTGGCTGCAGGGCTTCCTGGCTGTGGGTGAACTGGATCCACTGAATCGTCGTCTGGGTGCCCAAAAGAAACCCGATGTGGTCGTCCAAGTGGTGATCATTGCCGAGGACAATGAGATACGGGACAAGCTGGCCGAGCATGATCTGCATGTCCAGACCATAGCCGAGGTGGCGCCCATTGAGGTGCAGCCCGCACGTGTCCTTAGCCATTTGTACACGTATCTGGGGCGCAATCGGAAGCTCGGCCTCAGCGGTCGCAAGTCCCGTGATGTGGGCATACTCAGCACCAGCAAGTTGTACTCCCTGAAGGATCGTATATTCGCCTTCACGCCGCAGGTGAGTTCACAGTTTTGTGTCCCTACCTGTCACCTTTCGCCTGTCTCCTCTGTTTGCTCTCCTTAAGCTCTACTCTATTTTCTACTCTATTTATTTGATTTTTATTTATCATTGTTATTATTATTATTGTATTATTCGTATGATGTGCATCAGTTTGCCGACTTGTCGCGCTTCTATATAGCCTCCGATAACGAACTCATGATCGACATCCTTAAGGGCGAAATCAATTTTCTCAAGTCCGCTTGGGATCTGCTGGGCCGGCCACTGGTCACCCTGGTGCTGAAGCGCATCCACTTAGGTCGGTTCCTTCACAGACAACACAACAAATATTTCTTTTTTCTGTTACTTTTTCATCAATTTTATTTGTTATTTCATTTAATAAGTATCTCTCTCTCTCTCTCTGTGTGTGGTTCTCCCCCCTTACTATCCATTTAATTTGTTGCTCTCTTTCTGTTTTTATTTTATTTATTTACTTGCAAGGGTTTGCGTTTGGTTTCTTTCTGTATTGTTTATAAATTAATTGACACACACGCGCACACACATACGCACTTGAATTTATTTATTAGAGATTCATTTATGATATATTCTTACACTCGATTGCCCTCAATGGCCGCAGCAAGTGACTTCCAATTGGATATTTATTGTCAACTGGAGGCTCAAGTGATCCCCCCCCCCCGACTCTACTTCCACTGGATGCCATATGTGTACCGACTATATGAATGGTTCAATAAGTTCCCACAGTGGAATTTACATTTTATTTTATTTACTTTATGTAAACACTGTGAAACTCTCACTCATTTAATTCGTATGTGCCTCTTCGGTTAGATGTTGTGCGTACGAGTCTTTGAATTCATTAAGTTGCAGTATCAGCATTACAAATGTCAATTCTTCTGTTTCTATTAATGAAATTACTTGGGAACTTATTGAATCATGTGACGTTGGGCAATCGATTTTACTAGTTTTAATCATTATCGTTTATTTTTTATTTTAGTTCTTGGTTATGGCAGAAAAAAGAAACACTTGGTAGTATATAGAATATATTAAAATATAGAAGCAATACATAAATACATATGCACAAACATACATACTTACACATATATTTATATATTTTTGTAATGGATTTTTACTTAGTTTTTAGTTGACATTTCCATTTGTTACTTTCCCGCTCTGATTGATTTGTACTCTTGAGTTTATCCTCTGAAATTGCTCCATTGCAAATTGGCCATAGAAAATCGATGCAAACAAAAAACCAATCAAAATACCTTTCTCTTGTTTATTTTATACGAAATGCAACCAACCTACACACCGATCAACCAACAAAACAAAACAAACAAACCAAAACAATCAATCAAACCAAATCAAACACTTACACAGCATATCGACTATGAAGAATACTATACAACACGCGATCCCGATTTGCTTGCCAGCAATTTTACCACAAATTTAGCATTCTTGACCAACAATTGGCGTCACATGTTGGGCAGGCCGACAATTACACTAATGGCAACCCACTATATGCTAGGTAATTACCAATTACAAAATTCCAAATACTCAAACCGAATCTGCATCCAAAAAAAAAAACAATAAACACTCCTCCCACACACACACACACACACAACAAAATCAACAACAAATTGTTGAGAAATTGATCCTGTGATCCTTGAACTCTGTAATCTCTAATCTATGATATTTTGGCTTGTGTCTGCATTTAGTCTTTCCTCCAGCTTTACGACTACTACTCCCTCCCTCGTTATGCAGCCTCTAAACTTTCTTAAAACGTTTGTAAATAATTTAAGCAATATTTTCCCCTAAACATTTATTGTTACTCTTTCTTATGTGTACTCTGTTTTCTTTGCCAAAATCTCTCTCTACAAACCCCCTGCTCTATGGTCGCTTTAGTTTACTCGAATTTCAGTTCAAACATATCCCAATCCGTTCGCTTATGGTAAATTTAAACCTGCGCACAGTCTGGCTCCGTGCAATGAATAAAATCAAAATTTACAGTGGAAATATACCATCTGCATTTAAAATGTAATCCTTTTAAAATCGGCAAACGTAAACTTTGTTTCGGTATTTGGTGCCGGAAAAATCATAAATTACAAAATTATTTATGCATAATTTATGTAGCTAATTTCTGTGTAAAATTACAAATTACACCCACTTACTGTGTAGGTCCTTTGCTTGGCGCTTGTGGCTAAACTTGTTCCTTATTTGTATGCATTTTTTCGGTCATGTTTGGATTTGCGCACTTGACTAATCCCCTGCAAAAATCCCCACTGAAGGTGCTGGAATCCCTGTGTACCTAATACGTGCATAAATATATTATATGCCGGCCATTGTTGTATTTATTGTGTGACTAAACCGTAGCTATAAGAAACAGCGCCCTAATAACCAAACAAAACCACAAACGCCATTCCATTCCATTCAATCAATTGATCGAGAAACAAGAGCCACAAGAGGCACACATCCACACAAATCATAAATTTTGACAAAATCCAAAAGTGGTGCAGAAGTTTAGCTAACATTTTGTCAATCAACGATCCAGACCAGGACAAGATACCGCTGGCCATGATCCAAACGATGCGGAAACTCAAGTCTGGCTACATCAACGGCACCCGCGTGATGCTGGGCAGCCTGAAGGACTTTCTGAACACGTCGGCCATCACGGACTTGAGTTTTCTGGGGAGCACCGAGGATGGCTATCCGGATCGTCTGCATCCCGATGTGCAAACGTATTTGGACGAGCATCTTTTGCGATCGTTTAGCAATCGCAGCACAATGAATCTACGCGGCGGACAGCTGAGGCCACGGACTCTACGCCGTCGCATGTCCTGCAAGGGAGCCATTAAGAAGACGCGCTCCATAAATGTCGACTGTAAGTGGAAACCTTTCTTGTGCTCTATTTGGATAACTTTTTTGTGTCTGTGTATGTTTTGCAGCCGATAACCTTGGCATGGAGGGACCCTCACCGCTCACAGAGCGACGACTATCATCGGTGGTGCCGCCGCCCTGGCTCCAGGCCAACAAGCAGAGCCATGTCTCAGTGTTTGCCACCACGCCCGAGGAGGGGCCCAGCACACCGAGTCTTCTGCTGGGCAACGAGCTGGTCATACGCGAGAACATCTATCCCGTGGATCCACACGGACAGAATCGTTCGGCCATCGACAGGCGCAGCGAATTCGTACGCCAGCAAGAGAGTTAGTGTTTCCCCCAGTCCACACAGTTTCTCTTTCTTTTCAAATTCGAATTTAGTTTCCACTTTGTTGTAAATTATGTTCTTATACATTTATCTTTTTATTTTTTATTTTCATTTCTTTGGGTATTTCTGTGTGCTTGCGTATTGGTGTAATATGTTATAGTAACGGTGCCAAAAATTCTCATTCAACGCCATCGGGCGGAAACCAATTTCGCTGACACAGAAGTGGAGGAGCTGATTGCCATGCTGCGCGAAACGGAGAATCTCGAGGAGCAGGGCGACATACTCCAGTATCTGGTCGATACACAGGGCCTTGACTTTAATACAGGTGAGTGCCAGCAGAGGGACACATACATAGTCTTCAAGGAAAGAACACAAAAACAATATGGTTTTAGATCAGCTTAAAGCTTTTATTATCTCCTCTAAGGACACAAAAATGTTATGGTACACATGGTACACCAACGCTTTACAATCACACACACACACACACACACGCCTTAACACACACACACATAAGCACTGAAAATATTCAGTTTTCATATTTTTAAGCTCAGAACAAAATAGTGCATAGATTGTAAGGGTATTCCAAAGTCCATTCTCATTCACGTCTCCTTCTGTCTGTATTTGGTGATATTCTACATTGGAGCTGGACTCTTGAGCAGATTGAAACAAGTATCACTATTTAGTTTGGAGTCCAATGATAGGCTTCTGTGAATGGATACAAAGTGGAAGTTATGTTGAATCCTGGACTTAAGTGAGTGCGAGAGCAGCTTGGCCAGGCTAGCCAAAGAGGTAGAGCTGGAGCGCAGATGTAATCAGAATCTTCTAGTTATGTTAGCTTCTGTCGATTAAGGTTATCGGCCTTGGAGTCATTCTTCTTTAGTTGAATATTTCAAACACTAGTCTTAGGTATAAGTCTGATCTGCATTCAATATTGTACTCATTGTACCCCTTAAAACATTCACATTCTTGTTCTTGTCCATCGTGCAACGTTTCGTACTCCGTTCTTCGTACTCTTCGTGCTCGTTATGTTTGCGAATGTCTACAGCTGGCTTGGGATTTAAGAATAAATCGGATGATAATGCCTCTGCCGTGGCCGGAGCTGGAGGTAAGTTTGTCTTCTCGTTCCCAAATCTGTCTATAGATGGCTGTAGATCGTTGCTAATGTTGATGGTCGTCGTCGTGGTTGTGTAAGAGCATCTAAATGGGGCTTGTAATCAAATGAGGACAAGACTCCACTCCACTCCTTTCCCTTACTCCACTCTCTCCCTTTGTAATTTATAGCCAGAGATTGGCAAATAACCTTTACGTAGCATTTTTATTGTATCTTTGCATTTGCATCCCATTTACTCTCCCACCTTTTCTGCCTTTGTTTTCCCCCAGATATTGTCAAATAATTCCCTTAACTTTCCACCTCTCTTTGTGTATTTTTGTGATTACTTAAAGCCAAAGATTGTCTGCCCTCTGTGTTGATCTGCTCAAATTTTCCCCCAAATATTGTCCCATAATTCCTTGAACTGTTAAATATATTTCCAACTCTTTTGTGATTCCACTTAACTTTCTGTTTAAACATTTTCCCCATTGCTTTTGTGATCGTTTTGTATGTGATTTTAGTCACTTGTTTCATCACAAATCGCCGCTTTGCTTTTATTTATTTAATTTTTAGGCATTAAACACATTAGTTTTAAGCGCTTTCTGCTTTAAGTTATGGCTTACAAATAATATTATCCATCACTTAATATATTTTTACTTGGTTCACGTTTAATGCATTTTTTCTAACGTATAATTTTTGTATTTCTTTTACATTTTATTTTATATTCCACGCTACACATCAAAAATAACACACACGCCTCACACACACAAACACATTCCACGCATGTTCTCTGTGTGCCGCATGTTGCATTAACCATGGAAAAAAAAACAAAACACCAACCAACATCCAACCGATTCTTCCTATACTTTTCGCTGTTCCTTAACGCAACCCGAAACTAACCCAAACCCAAACAAAAATCAAATAAAAACCAACTTAAAGAGCTCGAGCAAGAATTCGTGGACGAGGTGGTGCTCGGACTGGCTAATGCTAATGTTGCAGGTGGTGGTGGTGGTGGGGCAGAAGGTGCAGGTGCAGGTGCAGGTGGTGGTAGCAAGGGAAAGCCAAAGCTGCCCACAGTGATCATCGATGATGCTGCTGCTTCAATTACAGCCACTCCGAATGCCGCCAAGGACAAAGCCAATGCCACTTCGACGCCCAAAACGACAACGGCGCCTGGAGGAGGTGCCGCTGCCGCTGCCGCATCCACCGCCAATATCAGCAGCAGCAGCAACATCAGCAACAGCAGCAACAGCAGCAGCAGCACGACTAACAATTGCAACAACAGCAGCAGCCTGAATCTGAATGTGAATCCGTCTAACAACGATTCTTCTCACTCTGAAGGAATGCTGGAGGAGGGACGCGTGGTCACCGTACGTGACCTGCTCAAGGGCCTCTACGAGAAGGCCTGCCAGCAGAAGCTCTGGGGACTGGTGCGCCACACGGCCGGGATGTTGGGTAAACGTGTAGAGGATCTGGCCAAGGCCGTCACCGATTTGCTGGTGCGTCAGAAGCAGGTCACCGTGGGCATGCCGCCGAACAACGAGCACACCATAACGGCACCCCTGCCGGAGGGCGAGCTGCGTCAACTGATACACGATGTGAATAGATTAAATAGAGTATTATCCATAATCAATATTAATGTGTGTGTTCCTGGCAGGCCTATGGAGATGATGAGAGCACAGCAATGCTCACCCAGGAGCTGATGGTCTATCTGGCCATGTTCATACGCACCGAGCCGCAGTTGTTTCACGAAATGTTACGCCTGCGCGTTGGCCTGATCATTCAGGTGATGGCCAAGGAGCTGTCACGCACCTTGAACTGTGACGGTGAGGCGGCATCGGAGCATTTACTTAACCTCTCGCCCTTCGAGATGAAGAATCTCCTCTATCACATACTCAGCGGCAAGGAGTTTGCTGTCAGCAGTGGTATGTCCATGTCCCCCATGTCCCCCATTCATTCATTCATCCTCCTTTCGTTCATTCATTTGATTATCTTCCGCTTTGCAGTGGCCCGGGGCAATCTGTCGATTGTCAGCTGCAAGAGCAGTCGCGTCAGCAAGAAGAGCCAGATTGGTCTGGGTGATCCCGAGGGCGAGGATGCTCTAATTGCGACCATCGATGATCGCCAGGGTCAGTGGCTGCGTCGTCGTCGCCTCGATGGCGCCCTTAATCGTGTGCCGCGTGATTTTTACTCGCGCGTCTGGACGGTGCTGGAGAAGTGCCAGGGCCTGGCCATCGAGGGACGTGTGCTGCAGCAGAGTCTCACCCAGGAGATGACGCCCGGCGAGCTTAAGTTTGCCCTCGAGGTGGAGACGGCCCTCAATCAGATACCACAGCCCGAGTATCGCCAGCTGGTGGTCGAAGCCCTCATGGTGCTCACCCTGGTCACCGAGCACAATATGGTGCCCACACTGGGTGGCATCATTTATGTGGAGCATCTGGTCCACAAGGCCAATCAATTGTTCCTCGAGGATCAGCGTAAGGTCCAGGGCGATGCCACCCTGTGTTGTGCCAAGATCAAGGATGGAAAGGAGCAGCAGCAGGCCGCTTCGGGAATGTTACTCTGTGGCGGTGCGGCCTATATTTGTCAGCATCTGTACGACAGGTAGGAACAGTATGAACATAATCCATACATGAACAGCCTCAAAGCTAACTCTCGCTCACTCTCTCTCTCTCTCTGTGTAGTGCTCCCAGCGGCAGCTATGGAACCATGACATACATGTCCCGTGCCGTCGCACTTGTATTGGACTGTGTGCCCAAGCATGGGGAAATGGAGTGCGCCATTTCCTAGGGCCCATCCCCCACCAAAAAGCAAACGGATCTGCGACCACTTAATGCCAATTTTTGCAACTTTTGGAAACGTCCTCTCTCTCTCTCTTTCTCAGTCACTCAACCCTCTATCTATCTAACTATCTATCTCTCTCTCTCTGTGTGTGTGTATAATTTTAACCCAGAGGCCGATTGTATATATTTGAAAGACCTCTTTGCCCATAATGCCCTTTTATTTTTGTTTTTCTTGCGTGTTTGTTTGCTCTAACCAAAAAAACAAAAAAATTCCGTAAATGGTAACCCTCTTTATCGCTTTATACGAGTTAAACATATATAACTTATAGGACCCAAATGACTCGTAAACCACTTCGATAACCTTAACCATTATGGATATTAAATCCATTAATCCGTAGGTTTTCATTTGACCCCTCGCCCACCACTTGCACCCCACATTTGATACGTTTTGATTGTAATGAAGAAACGCGAAAGATTTACAATAAAAATGTGTATTTGCAATGTTAATGCTCGATGTTGTGCCATTTATTTATGTATATTTCAATATTTTGTTATTTTAAAGGGAATTGCCAGAACCGTGCTCTGTTATAACTTGTGCTAATAATATTATATGACACATTACATTATCAAATAAGTGAATCTCGAGCTATTAAACACAAGGAAACAATGCTCCAGAGAGTAGAGAGCAGAGAGCAGCATTGCAGTAGCAGGGAACGGCAGGAGTTAGTTCCATTGGACATGGATGGGGCAAAGACGAATCATCGTTCATTTCCATGCAAAATTTCAATTCGAACCCCATTGTGTTTCAATTGATAATTAAATTGTTATGGCGGTTATGGCTACAACATAATTTTTAAGATAAAATTTGCTCATTTGCCTGCCACTCGGGAAGTACTTTCCCTGGCAGGAGAATGTGCAAGCCTACTCGTGGACGTCCAATGTGGCATGCATTTAGCGCAAGTTTCAGATTTTGAATCACTTTGCGAACCAGCTCTCCGACTGAATCTACTGATCAGCGACGACCTGCACTCGTACGACCACGAGATAGTCTTCAGCTGCAACCAGCTGTTGTTGGAGCGTATGGGTAAGATCTATATAATCTTTTTATTGTGTTCATTGTCACCGTTGATACGGGCAACTATTGGGCACAGTTTGAGGAGCTGCAGTTTGCCCAACCCAATGCCACTCATCAATTAAGCATTAAGCACGCATTCGAAATAAAATACACAATTTAGTGTTTAGTTTTGTTAAGCATATAAATATGATCGTTTTTATTTTCATTTCTTTGTGGTCTTTCGGTCTTTCTCTTTGTGAGTGTTGCGTGAGTGTGAACGACTCGACTCTCTTTCGCCTCGCTGCACATATCAATAATGTTTACAATAATTGTATTCATTTGCAAGTTGTTTGGTGTTTGTTTTGTTGTTGTGTAGTTTAGTTAGCTGAACATTTTTGAAATGCTTTAATTTTGTTCGTCCTACGATGCTTCTGTGGCAGCCAGAGTCTGCTGTTTACCAAAGCTGGGCTTTATCTTGTTTCTTTTGTTGTTTGACAATCATTTAATGTGTGAGAGCAGTGCGTTTAAATGAATCAAAAAGTGTTTAGCGAGAGGAGGTAGGGGTAGTGGGGTTATTTGTATTGTTTATAAACAAACAAAAGACACGTGAAAATGTTAAACGAGGTTGTATGGGGGGTATGGGGCGGGGGGTTGTTTTACAAAAAAAAACATGATCCTAGAACAAGAGAATACTTAATGAGTCTAGTCTAGCAGTAGCCACGATCGGGCACACGACGGCGAGGCGCACACTTGATGATGTTGTCCACACGCAGTATCATTTCGGCAGCCTCCGAGGCAGACATGAGTACCTGTCGCTTGACGGCATACGACTCGGTGATGCCCAATTCGCGTACATTGGCCACCTTGCCCTCGTCCATGTCCAGACCTAGCTGGTTCTTGCCCTGGGCATGACCAGCCCGCAGCTCGGAGACCAGCTGAGCGGAATCGTAGCCAGCATTATCGGCAATGGCTGTGGGCAGCGACAGCAGAGCACCTAGAAAAAAAAGGCGAGAGAAAGCAATCAATATAAATCTCTGTCCATCACTTCCCGGAAGGGGGGAGGGTGTGCTGGGGACACTTACGTCCAAAAGCCTCAATGGCAATGGCTTCCTTGCCGGAGGTGAGGGCGGCCTTCTTGAACACAGCATTGGCCATGAGAGCCTCTGAGCAGCCACCACCATAAATGATGCGCGACTCCTTGACTGTGGCAGCCAATACACAGAGGGCATCGTGCAGCGAACGATCGGCCTCATCCAGAATCTGTTGGGTGGCACCGCGAATGACGATCGTGCAGGCCTCACCCAGCTTAACGCCACTGAAACGCAACAGTGTATCTTCACCGATCATGACCTGTTCGATCAAATCGCACTCGCCCAGCTTCACCAGCGATGGGTTCTCAAAGGTGGAGGCAATCTCACCGCCAGTGCAGTATGCCAGACGCTCGATGCCATCAAAGTCGGCATGCTCGATGGCCATCACCTTGGCATCGGCAAAAAGCTGTTCCGGGTAATTGTAGATCAGCTGACGATTGATGAACACATTGCATTTGTGATTGAGAATCTTGTTGACTTTCTCCTTCATCTTCTCCTTTTCGGCCATCTCCAGATCGGCGATTTTGGCCAATGAATCGACCTTAATGCTGCTGCCAAATACCTTGATCTTGTCCGTGTCCATGGGCGTATTGGCAATGAGAATTTTTGCATTCTTAATCTAGAGAGAGGAAGAGGAGGGAGGACACAATGCTAGAATATAAACAACAACAAAGCGAAATCAAATCACAATACAAATGAGGCAAACACACTCTGTTTATAAATGCATTTCTATGCAAAGTTTTTAAATAATTTCCATTTGTTTGCACCTTCTTTGATTTATTTGCAAAGTCACGCGCGACACCTTCGATTGTACAACACTGGAAAAGCTCTACTCTGCCGTTGTATTGATGGATGGATGGACTGCACATCAAACTCGTCAAAATGGCTGTGATATGAGATCAAAAATACATAGCTCACAGTCATTTTGACGCGATAATATGCAGCAGCAGACGCAGAAAGAGAGAGAGAGAGCTTGGTTGGCTTTGGTTAGTGGGGGGGAGGGGGGTTGCTGGTCATTGACACTTACACGCTGTGGCTGATGAACACCTGGCTTCTTGTCCAGCAGGAAACCATCATCCAGGAACGAATCACCCAATGTGCCACCAGACTTCTTTATGATCTGTATGGACTTGAGCTCGCCGGAGCCCTTCAGACGTAGGACAGCATCAACGGCGAGATTCGCAAAGAACTCCTTGTGCTGGTGCAGGATCTTGGAGGACAGCGTGGTGCGTGCAATGTTAAGTAGATCTGCCTTGAATGTCTCATCGTTGGCAGAGTTGTCCTGGGCAACGGCAGTCAGCGCTTCGAGCGCCACTTGGGTGGCCATGCGCCAGCCGGAGACTATTATCTGTGGATGGAGCTTCTGTTCGACCAGCTTCTCGGCCTCGCGCAACAGCTCGGCGGCCAGCACAGTGACCGAGGTGGTGCCATCGCCAACCTCTTCGTCTTGCACACGCGACATGTCAACCAGAATCTTTGCTGCTGGATTGTCAACGCCCACGGCACGCAATATGGTGGCACCATCATTGGTGACCTCCACCTGGCCTGCATTGCGGCCATTGGCAACTAGGATTTTGTCCATTCCCTTGGGTCCCAGTGTGCTCTTCACCAGATCACCGATGGCAATGGCGCCAATGAACGAGGAGAGACGAGCCATTTCGGCCTTCTCCTCCTGCGCCTCATTCTTGAGCACGCGCACGGGATTTAGAGACATCTCCTGCATGAGGAAAAGTAAACATTTGTTGTTTAGAGTGTATCAGCTAATTTCATTCTCCCATTCGTCTCATCGCCTCGACCTAACCCCTAAAATTGCGAGAGAGCGGCGAGTGATTCATCGCTTGAGCATCACAAAACGGCGTGCATTGCATTCTAGAAAGTTCTACTTTTGCTCATTTTGTAATAATTGCATTACAAATGCAAGAAAACCATTCTAATTTGTACAATATTAAGAACATTCTGGAAGGGCAAGGCGCTCCCCGCTCACGTGCGAAGCGGCCGCCTGTCAAAATGGCTTGGGCTTTGTGGTCGCTCGAGTCACCGTCGGGGCCACACACCCGGCAATTGAAAATGCTAATTTGTATGAAAACATCAATGAAAACTAACAAATTGTACTCTCAACTTAACACTTGCACTGCAAACAACTAAAAAAATATAGATTTTTGATTTAAATTTACCATTTTCTATGTGTAATTAATAAGTTTTGATCACAGAATTTACGAATACCACACGGGCGCAACAAAGGAAAATGGCGGAATGCTAGGGATGCTAGATATATATTGATACATCAATATATCGATGTATGCATATTATTTTTCTTGATAATGTATTTTCTAGGCGATGTTTTTTTTCTGATGAAAATATTAATATGGTTTTTATGTGGTATATGTTTGATCGACGGCACTACTTCTTACTGTTTAAAGCAAATCGACACAATGTGTATGCTTTGATACCTCGTTAGACCTTGCGGTTTTTTATTATTTGCATGTTTGACGATGAACAGGGACAAAACGATATTTCTGTGCGATATACATAACTTAGCTGCGTTTTATTTGAAATAAGCTAATTGTTAATAGAGTTTATGACCATTAGGATATAAGGCGAATCTGTTGTAATTGATAATCATAAACTAAATATGTATATTTCACTCCAGTTCTACATAAAAATAATTATTTCTAAGTGCTACGCCTCATTCTTATTGCCTTGGTCAAGTTTTTTCGACTTTTTGGCCTGCTTTTTGAGGTGCTCGCTCTTGTCCAGATTGTTTTGGAAGAATGTCGTCTCCTTGCGGGCCTGGGACACCTCTGTTTGTAGACGCTGCTTATGCACAGCCTGCTCATAGTTCATGCGTTCGGTGAGATGAACCCACTTGAAACGCGGCAAGTACTTCATGCTCCACAACGAATCGTAGAACTGGGAGCTCTTACGCGTCGAGATTTGCTTGTTGTTCAGCAAAGGTACAATTTGTTTGGCCACACGCTTCGACTCGAACTCAACCCAGCCCTCGGTGAAGTGAATGTTGTAGCGCTTACGCTTGTTCTTCTTTGCCCTGTCACCTATGGACACGAGGAGGATAATCATTTGCCTGTGGCTGGTAAGGCACGTGCTTTCACTCACTTGACTGCTTCTCAGGCTGCAGATATACGCGTCCAATCTTGCCGCACTCCCCCAGGATCTCCCGTAGACGTGTCACGTTCATGTGCCTTGGTATGTTTGATATATAAATAATGCCCTTCTTGCGTTTCTTCTTCTGAACTGTGGCGGAGGAGCTTGATTTGAAGTTGGCCAAGTCCATTTCATCATCATCATCCGATGCACCTGCCTCCTCGTGGACCTCCTCGTCTAAGGCCGCACCACTGTCGACCTGCATCACTTCCGCTGGGGCAAGTAGCTTCGGTTTTGATTTTGTTTTGGTTTTAGTTTTTTGCATTTTCTCGTGGTGTCTCTGCTGCAAGGTTTTAGAGATGTAACAAAATTAGATGTCTCTGTCGATAGTCTTCACGCTTATCGATAGATTAATGCAATAAATGAGTATTCCCGTCTAATTTATTTTAAAAAATAAATAAATTATGCGAATAAATTATATTATGCCGACACAGTCCTTTGATTTTTATCGACCACATTGATGATCACGTAATACAAAGCCAAGAAATTAAAAAATAGCTGATATGATAGGAGATTAGCTGGTATTTTATTGTTGGTATTTTTTGGTTAGTATTTTACAGCATGGGACTATTTCTGGTTTGAATTTTGTGCATCCTGCGATGCATTTTTGGATGGAAAAGCTATTTATTGGTATGTTTTATGTATGGACGCTATATATCTGGCAACTTTTTGGCCACAGTAACCGGATTGTCACGACGGATCTCATTGGCGCCCAATTCGCGGTAGTCGAAGCTGCAGTCATGCCGGTCGCTGTAGCGATGGACTGCGCAGTAAATGCCGCCACAACGGCATGGGAATGCTCCAGTCAGACCCAATTTCTTACCACACTTGTGGCAGCGATTCTTCTTATTTTCCCCTGGTGTCTCTGTACTCATATCCTTCTGCTCCTCCGTGGCATCAGTTTTCGTATCACCATTCTGCTCGGTTGTCTGGGTTTCCCGAATTTGCTGTTCGCTTGCCTGCAAACACGGACACAATTGATGCGTGCCCGAGTTGTCGATATGTATGGGGCCATGGGCAGACTCCAGTGGCTGTCCCAGTACGCCCATCCAATCGCTGATCGAGACATCTTGGAAAGCGGCTGCATAACGCTTGGGACGGTTGCGTGCTTTTGAAGATTTTAGTATTTCCAACGGCTTCGCCGTGATATGACTACGAATCGTTTTAACAAACATTATTTTTAGTGATTTTGGCAGCTATCTCCTATCTGAAAATGTGAAGTTTCTCTACAGCTTACTTGCCAATGCTATATTCGAACCGATGTGGACATCCCCCTAGGCATTACCATTGATGACGTCGGTCATGTGCCGGCGAAACCAATCGCCCACCGGTGTCCTCAGCACACAGGCGAAGGCACTGTAGCACCAGTCTAAGACCAGTCCACTCGACACTCTTCGCGCCTTTGCATTGCAGCCATTGATGGCCGGCAGTGCCTGCTCCACATTTAATCGACGTGGTCCCCCAAAACTGTGGACAATGCGCAGTGCATCGAATCCAGTGTCGTCGTGCCACAGTTCCAGGCGTGCCCAGAAGCAGTGAACGTATCGCTGCACATGCGGCAGATTATCATACTGCATCCGATCCATTCGTACTCGCTGGGCGTGACTCAGGTTTACACTGCACAGGTCACGCGCCCGCAGCAGTGCCAGCGATTGGGGGTCTCTCCCCAGTGGAGATGTTATTGGTGTGGGTGTGGGTCTGGCCAGGGCTCCGATTTGCAGCATCTATAATTGCATTTGGAGGAATAGTAAACAAATATGTACATACATAGCTTCAACCGATTCACTTGCAGTGCCTAACCCCCAGTGCAGGCTTGTCTAAGTTTTGTCGCGTTCGAGCGCGTCTCACACCGTTTCTGCTCGTTCAATAAGGTCACACCTGGTATTATTAGCCCTAAACTAGTTATGCAAACATGTCTTACTCTACAAAAGCTATTCTTGGATAAAGTATAATCATGGATTGTTTTTGATTGTTTGAAAAAGTTTCCGCAGCTGTGGCTGCAACCTGCAACCGGTTTCTTGCGCTCTGCCTTTGTGGGGTGGAATCTGATCTCTTGATTTCGAGAATCATGTCATGGAGACTACTCACCCCCAGAAGCACCAGCAACAGGAACAGCGGCAGACAGATCAGCGACCGTTGGCCCATTGCGATCAGTGGGTATCGTCTGTAGTCTCCGTTGCAGTCACAAAACTGCACTAAGCTGTAGAGAGCTGTCTGGACAATAATTTAAGCTTATCTGGGATTATGAAGATTATCTAATCAGCGCCATCATCCCAAATCCCATGTGCAAAATAGTGAGGGGAGGGAGTAGTCGTCAGGGATCTCGCTCGCCGTCCGCTTCTCGTCATCTCCCTCCTCCACTCTGCTCCACTCGAAATTTTTTGAAGCGAAATTGGCAGTCGCAGCTGCTGTTCGTCATCTGTTTTATGTTAACACATAAGTCGCGGATCTGTGTTCTGTTCCAAGTGTTCGGTCAGGTCTTCATTCAGACATGGCTATATGGATCGCCTAGATCATCGTGTGCATATGGAACGCAACGGCAACGGCAACGGCAACGGCAACTTTTCGTAACATTCCACACTCGCATTTTGGTTGTAAACAAGATTTTCTTTTTTCTTTTTCTCTCATTTCAATCGAATGTGGCGGAGGAGGGTTAGTCGCGGTCTCAGGTGGGCAGGCAGGGACCTTGCGAATGGCGCAGAAGGCAAAATCCATATCCAAATCGAATCCACATCGCCATCGACATAGCCATCCCACATCCCACATCCCACATTCAAAAGCAAATCAAAACGAATTTGATTCGACAGGCAACCGCAACGATAGAAATAAAATTGATTGCGTTAAAGTGTATTAAAATCAAATGCAAAATATGTCCACCGCAAATAAGTCCACATGTTGATTCAATGCCTCGAATCCAGGATCCAAGAGTGAGGGCCTATTGAAAGATGGACTTTTAAGGTTGCTAGCGATCAGCGGAGCTATCCTTTTACATTTAAACTATTATGACAGTAACTATGAAGTATTCTTAGGTAACGGGCCATTGAAGCTCAACGTTAGGAAAACAGTTCAACTTATTTCAACTTAAGAATATATGTATTATCTTATAGCAACTTTTAGGGTTTGCTCCGCAATAGACCTTCGTAAGACCTGCTGTGCGCTTGGTTTCCACTTGCCTTAATATTTGATATATAGCCCACGTGTGTGATGTGCACTGGAAAACCAATTAAACTCAAATGAATTGTGACAGAGACTTGTGGCCTGGCTATCCAGACCATTTCCATTCACAGCAATCTACAGATGCATTTGAATATGTACATTTGTATCTTCAATCAACACAATTACCCTTCCATGTCGGCACGGATGCATCTTAGTGCTTGCAATGGGCCACGCAAACAGTTCACCCGATCTTCTGCTGCGACAACTATCAGATCCCATCCTTCAAGTCGGGGACAGGGGGCATTGTGGTGTGATTGGGGTGAGGTTCATTCAACGCCAAATTTGACGCCATCAAGCGGGTGCCCAACCTTCGTCTCCGTCCGCTCCGTCTTCCGGCTGCAATGCTGAACTGCCTAACGCCGCGCGCCGTGTATGTTGCCGTGACAAAGACGCGAAAAATTGTAATTGCAATTTTTTTTTTTTTTCATCGCTTGTCGCCGTCGCCGTCGTCGTTGGTCGCATTGCATTTTGCCTACCTTAAAATTATAAGTAAAATTTACAATTTTTAATTGACTCTGAAAAATACAAAAACAAAAAATATATATCGAAAAACACGCCAAAAACTGAGGAAAAACATCAGCTACAGAAACAACAGAAACATGGCATAGATTTTTGGTTTTCAGCAAATTTTCATAGATATTTTGGTGCGGAAAGCGAATCAAAAAGGGTACAGGCGGGTGGAGTACGAGGTAATAAATATTTTTGGTTTTTCTTGAGAGGGGGGCCTCGGCATTTGCCACACGGCTTATTTATATGTACTAAATACTTACACACATGTGTACATACTTGCTTTCATTTCGATTAACTGTAATTATTCAACGTTCCTCTCTCTTTCTCTCTCTCACTGCCACTCTCTTGGCAGCGGACGTGCAAGTGCAACGCCTGGAGTGGCGCCACCTGACAGCAGCAACTGGCAAAATTCGTTTTTTTTTGGATCTGATGCTGCTGCTGCTGCTGCTGCTGGCGGATCTGTGGCAACTTTGTCTGACATGGACGACGACATGGCAATGAGCACACCACACCACCGGCCACGGGGCAATGGCGCCAAATTCTTCATTGCCAGCGGAGCGTTGCAAAAACGCGTCAAAGCGCCAATAAAATGGGATTTGGATTCCTGTTGCCATTTGCATATTTTGCAAGCAATTTGCACACATCGAATCTTATTATATTATAATAATTTTTGGTTTTTCGTTGTTGTTGTTGTTGTGCGGTGTGTTTATTTTGCATATCATTAAATTAAAGTTGTTGCTGGTGCCACATAGCCACTGGCACTGGCACAGGCACTGCGACTGCCACTGGCACTGCGACTGCCACTGGCACTGCCTCTCGGAGGTTGGCATTAGCTGTCGGAAGGCGAATTTTGAGCCAATTTGCAGACTGCATTTTGGCCTGACGACTGACTCTGATGCACGTGAGTCGTCTTCGTCACCCCGTCCCGGGTGCGTTGCGGGGGTCTGGCACGTCAGACGCGAATGGAGGCAGCGGCCAAAGAGGCGGTGGCCAATTTGCAAGTTGTCTAGTGTAAGTATTAGTTATATTTATTCCCTGTCTGCAAGTAGATAGTATTTGCAACAGAAATGTGCAAATTTTGCTTAATTTATCAAGAGTACGGAACGGATTAGGCATGGACGGCATTGCCAACAGCGAAATATGAGCAGAGATCGAAGCCAGGAGCAGCTAAAGGGGAGCTTTATGGAGCTTTATGAAGCTTTAGCTGCAGCAGAATGTAAGCAAGACTTCGAAGTAAAAAAAAGTAAATCATTGGCAGCTTGGGTTGTCCTTCAGAAAGAGCACAAAATCGTTTCAAATAAAATGTCAAAACTTATTCAATTCGAACGCGTAGTCGGGCATACAATGTCTTAACTACCTCCGGCTCGTTGGGGCAGTTGAAGGTGATCTGAATGCCATTGGGCAGCCAGTGTCTGGACCAGATCCTCACCTCGCACACTTTGGTGGCACCATTCGGTTCAATTAACTCCACAATGTACGAATTCAGAGAGCCGGCGACCACCTGTACGGTGGTTGACATTATTTTCGAGACTCTAAAAGACACCAAAAAACAGAACAGAGGACTATGATTAATGACATAGGCATCTACCTAATGACTCACCGATAGCTGGGTCCCTCGCCAGCGGCCAAAGTGTCCAGGGAAGACGTCAGCGTTGCATGAGCTCTGTCCAGCTCCGCAACAGTCAATGTCCTGGGTGCACCGAGTCCACCGATTGCTGGGGGTGGAACTTCTCCATCACCGTGAGGACTGCCACTGACCAGAGCACCAATGCCAGACAATGCCAATGCCAGGCAAATGAGCAGAAATTTATGCTTGAACATTTCGTTTGATTTTCAAAACAAAAACTGATCTGTGCTTTGCCATTCGAGTCGATCTTTATAGGCAGACAAAACAGCGCTCCCTCCCTCGCTCTCTCTCTGGCCAAAGTTCTTGGGGGTCATGCTTACCTCCTCCTATCTCCAATGTGATAATGGAATTGAAATTAGAATCTGTTTTGGTTCATTTTAAATGTACAGTACAGTGCGCTTCATAAATGACATTACTTCCGCACACTCACTCAGCCACACAAAACACAAAACACAAAAGAGCACTCGGCGGAGGCACCAGTTGAATCGTTCATCATTCGATACTGGCAGTGGCCTGAGCCGGCAGTGGCAGCATTCTTGGCGCAACTCCAGAGCGCTGTCAGAAGTGCACAAAAATCCATTGCCGATTTGTATGAGAACATACGGGATGTCTGTACATCCGCCAGCGGACAAGTCATCCGTCCATCCATCCGTTCGTCTGCTCATCCATCCATCCCATCCATCCATCCGATCGTACATTCAACTGCGTGGCACCCGTTGCATTTTTGTCAGATCACAAACCAAGTGCTGTACATCCATGTCTATAAGGGGACAAGGATCGCAGTTGGGATCGGGAATAATGATGGCACATGATGCCTGTCTGTGCTCGTACCCACCCCCACAGCACACAGCACACAGCACACAGCACACAGCACACAGATCCAAAAATCCGATGGGGCAGCACTCGGATATTTTCAGCATCGTTTTGGGGGTTTGGGTGTTGAGGTTGAGATCGGTAAGATCGCGCGCTGTCGTCGTTCGGTTCGCGATCGCTCGTTGAAAGCGAATTCTCAGCTTTTTCACTGTGCAAACGATTTTTCCGTCCGACTTTTCACATAAAAATCATGCAAGGCTGGAAAACGGCGACAGTTTACAACAAACGGCAGCCGCGAAAAGAACTCCGCCCAGCGATAACACCAACAAAAAGAACAGAAGAAAGAAAACAAAAAGAGTTTTCAAACAAAAACTAACGACAGACCCAAACTCACAGAGAAGAGGAAGGGGTTTCCCAGGAAAACTATTGCTATTGTGATACGATCGAATATTTCGTAGTTTGTATTTTGTTTTGTTAGTTTTTTTGTGTGTGGTTTACTCGCGCCATGATCTGCCCGAAGCGTACCTCGGAGCTGCTGGATCTGCATCTGGCACCGTTCAAGGATAAGGATCCGGCCTGGGAGGTGGGGGTATCAAAGATAGCCGGAAGGGGACTGATGGCCACGCGCAGCCTCAAGCGCGGCCAAATCATTTTCAAAGACATGCCGCTGCTGATCAGCCTGTCCGCCCACGAGGAGGACTCCCTGAATACGTGCAGTGTGTGCCTGACGGAGCTGCCGGACACGCGTTTCATGTGCCGCATGGGCTGCGGCCTGCCCGTCTGCAGTCTCTGCTCCAAGAAGAAACAGCACAAGAACGACTGCGATCTGCTCAAGTCGTGGGGCCCCAATGAGCCCGAGGTGGCCAATTCGGTGATCATACGGCTGCTGTGCGTGGCCCGGGCCCTCAATCTGAACAAGGACCAGCGCGATCTGATCTACTGTCTGCAGGCGAATCTGGATAACAATCATCGCGTGGAGGTGCGCAACGCGGCCAAGTGCTTCAAGAACTTCCCCACCGACAAGAAAATCTTCGAGATCATGAACCGCACCGTGGCCGTGCTGCGAACAAACGGATTCGACAAGACCACCGATCGCACCAACGACAATCAGGAGTTCAACTATCGCGCCCTCTATCCCCTCTTTGCTGTCATGAATCATGACTGCATTCCCAACACATACTACACCTTCGAGGCGAAGACCAACATAATGATCGTGCGCGCCGCCGTCGACATACCCGAGGGCTTTGAGATCACCACAACCTATACGAAATTATTCACGGGCAACATTGCGCGACATTTATTCCTCAAAATGAAGAAGGGCTTCACTTGCAAGTGCTCCCGCTGCTCCGATCCAACGGTAAGCAACACAAATCCCTTAACCTATTTATTAGTTGCTGACAAAAACAATGTTTTCGTATCATTTGTGGTTTGAAATCAGGGGCAATCAGAGATACATCGTTTACAGATTGAAATCTTAATTGGAATTCTTTTGATTCAGATAAATAAAAGATCATTTGTGATAATCAAATGAATACATTCATTGAGCGATCAACATCCATTAACATCGATCTTTAGTTATTGATCAGCAGGGACTTCTAATAAAGATATTTTGGCATACAAATTGCATTTATTGCATTTTACTCTCGCCTCTCACCAACTCGAAGATTGCTCCATTTCGCGTCACTTCTTGAGTGTTTCGAACGGCAATTGTTTTCCCATGCCAAGATTATCAGACAGACAGAGCCAAGTGGTGAGAGATCTGCCAGCTGTGTAAACTATTTAACCAATTAACCAACAAATTCGAGGTCGATCAAATACATTTGAGACCATTGGGACCATGAGTACGAGTATATGAACTGCTTTCGAGATCCATCAAGCGAAGACAATATCGTGGCATCCTTCCATTTAGTAGTTTGCGAATGAATTCCTTTTGATTTTGGCCGACTATTTGTTCATTTGTTGTTGTTGTTCTTGGGGTTGCGAGGGGCAAAACTTTCATTAAGGATTTCCTGTGCACATCAAAAATTCATCCGAAAACAATTAAACCAGCAAAAGAACACACAAACACCCCATCGCTTCGTTCGTTCCACTCGTATTATTACAAGTTTTTGGTCTTGTTATTGTTTTGCCTCCCGCGCGCTCTGGGGGCATTCTCAATCCGAAATCCTCACACTTCCAGGCGCAACAAGTGGCGGCCTTTTGCAGTCCAACAACAGCAACAACATTCGAAATTTGTGTGTGTTCTTTTTGAGCGAGCCGAAAACCATTCAATTAAATCACAAATAAATAGATGTGATTCCAAAAAGCTTTTAAATTTGCTTGATTCCATGCATATATTTGTGCGCCAGAGGGAAGTGGGTTTGTTGGTGCCTGAATCTAGATTTCTATATCTATTTTTTCTTTTTGTTTAGCGCTTCGATTTCTATATTGACATAGACCACATATTTTCTGTGGATTTTCGCCGGCATTTCGACTTGAATTTGATTTTCAAAGATTCCTAAATACATTTTTGTCGCATTTTTTCACCTGTTTTTTGGTGATAATATTTGTTGCTCTTTTTTCCCTGTTGTTGTTATTA